GGTATGTGTCAGCTCTCATTGTTGTCAGGGTACATCCGATGTGAAGTCAGAATACGTTAACGGCATCATTAAAAGGGAAAATCATATGGAAAACTCTGGTTTGAGTGATGGGAATTTGTTTGTATTATTTGTCCTCAGCTGGAAGGAGATAGCTTAAACCTGCTAGAGTAGTCACTTCAAGCATGAGAGCAGGGCTGGAAACAAAAGTCCGTTTTGTGTAAAATTGATGAAAGAAAATCATGGTTTGTGCTAGTTTTTGTGTTTGTCAATTTGTTGTTTTAGCAAAACTGGATGAATTTTAAGAGGCTTATTGTGACTTATTTTAAAAGTTAATTTTGTTTTATTGTCTTTACAAAACATGTCCAGCAAGTTTTTTGCATTAAACCCACAATCACATAAAACGATTTCAGTAGATTTATTCTTGTCATTTTCAGTATCTTCCAGAAGGAGTCTCTTGTCACTTTGACAAAACAAGCTGGGGCTGGCACACAGGTAGAGGCCACAGCTAATCATCAATGGTAAACAAAAGATGACTCATCCCGGCGAGGAAGCCGTGCCGCTGTCAGGACTCTCCTGGTGTGAAAAGAACCACTTTGAAGTTCGCTAGAGTAAGGTTTAACCCTTCCAGCCATGGGTGTATTTTCGACTTTAGAATTGGGGGTGGGGGTGGGGGGGGGGGGTGGGGGGGGTGGGGGGGGGGGCACACAACTGGCATGAGGACTAGGGTGGGGTGGAGGTGGGGGAGATCTTTACACCCCCCCCCCCCCCCCCCCCGCGCCACCCCCCCCCCCCCCCACCACCACCACCCACACCCACACACACACACACACACACAATCCAGTAAGTACTAGCTCCGTGCCAGGGTGAGTTTAACAGGTTTCTGCTCTCGTTGTACCTGGTTTCCTGGAAAATGTTCCTGAAATGGAAGCATGCTGTAAATCAATCCTTTCTCCACACAAAATAATCGTAATTTAAAACTCTGTCTTGAAAGTTAACAGGTTAAAATAACTTGTTTCAGTGGGAAATCTAAACGAATCCTATCAGATGGCTGGTTTGTGAGAAGGTTTAACATTTCGACGGGGTCTTATTTCTAGGCCACTTTCACATTAAAGGCATTTATCATTGAGATGGAAGATGGTATAATTAGCTTGTCAGTCTACTTTAGACTGAGCTGGTGCTCTTTGTGGAGAAGAATGGACTTCAAGTTGAAGGAGCCGACAGCCAGTCGATGATGCTCCAATTAATGTCATAAATTTTTTTAAAGCCAATTAAATTAAAAGTGGAGTTCACACTATAAAGCTGCTTTTTTAATTTTCTATCATTGCACATGTTCTGTATCAAACAGAGGCAGCAGCCTTTCAACATGTGGCCGACATATGGTGCAGCCGTGATGCGAGACATAAAAGTCCAAACGGCCTTGTGGGAGATTTATTCGCTGATTTAGTTTGCTTTTAATAGAGGAATGTCTGTTTCTTTTCCTGAAGCGTCACCTGTAATAAAAGGCAAACACTGAGCATAAACTCTATTTTAATCAAAATTTATACCATCCTCATGTATATAAAAAGGGATTCAGCTCATGAGGAATGAGAGTAATTTAATGGTGGTTGCAGTTAAACATATCAAACGCTCCTTCTGGCCTTGGAAGGGTCAGGCTCTCTGTAACATATAGAAAAGCCTGCAATGGCTGAAGGAAGTGCCAACTTCTTCTACATTATGCATGATTCTTGGGACTCTCTGACTCCAATCGTCTGAACCTGAAACCTTGGGAGGAAAATTTAGCAGTAAGTAAATCAACAAGCATGCTGGCATTTCTATCAAACTCCAGCGAGCGAATGACAGAAACTTGGATCACAGTAAATAATATCTCACAAACTGTAAATAATTTCCACAACTTTGGTAGAGGATGGATGTTGTTGGATGTTTTTGTTATTTCTGATGTATTTGCAGTAAAACAACTACGAAAAACTCCCATTTATTGAAGCAAAAACCATGTTCACATTAACGTCAGTGTATTTCACGCTTTTAGTCATTTAGTTTACTAGTCTATGATTTGTGCATTCATAAAACGAATGAAAAGTTTGTTTGTTTCAGAGCAAATAAAGGGTCAGTTTGCCAGCTGTGCCTTGAAGGCAAATCAGATCCTGGTGATTTATTCTTCCAGTAGGGAGGATTTCTGTTTTTCTGATGCTGAGAGGCATTTTGCCTTTGTCTTTTTATGTGTGCAGGTCAAATAAAATAAATAGAAAACATATAAAAAAGAAAAAATTAAGTCACGGCATCAGAAAGTAGAATTTTTCTTGAAATTCTTGGTTGTTTTTTTTAGGATTCAGATTCTCCTGCCTTCCCTTGTTTCTGTATCAAAGGGGAAACTAATGTAAAATGTATATGGCCCTTGGCACAAAAGAGGATGGTGTGGCTCGGTGCACGAGGATGTGCGCTAAAAGCTTGGAACATCTGTGTAAACACATGGCTTTTTTCCAACCATGTAGACAATGTTATCATAGCCTTAAGATAGATGTCCAAGGCAATATACCTTGCCCCGTGGCCATGCTGGAATGACTTTGAACATCTGAAAAACACAAAGCTTCAAGCAAAATCCACTTTTAATATCCTCGCAAAGCAACAAAGTCCTCCTAGGCTTCCCAGCTCTGCATCAATTGCAACATAATATAAAATAAACCTGATACCACAATGACTTACAAGTGGTCATTTTTCATGGTAACACAATTAAAATATTTTTCTATGATGGGTAAAAATGAGGCTAAAGCAAATGGAGCAACAAAGAGTGAAGCTGCTGCCTTTGTTGTTTTCTGTAATTCTGTTAATAGCCCAAGGTAAAGATTTATCTGCTCTTGTCAATTTACCTCAGCCTCAGTATAAAGCACCAAGGTCACTTTTCCTTGCCTGGCCCACAGGATTAAATTGTCATGTCCCTCTAATAGGCAGCACAGGAAATCATTAGTCCAGCTCAGCTGCCTGACTGATAGGCATTTCAGTCCAATCATGGGAGTGTGCCGCTACAGGCCAGCCGGTATTGACACTGTGTCAGGACTGAGTGGGGACGCCTTAATCAGCCGGGACACTCTCAACATTGATTTGACAAGCTGCTGTAATGACCGCCTTGTTTTGGCAAAGGATCGCTGTTTATCCGGGCTGGCATTGATGCACTTGGGAGTGTTGTGTTGTCATGGAAACCATGATCATCCGTGAAGCTGAGAGAGTTCAGCAGAAACTTTGCATGTGTGTGTGTGTGTGTGTGTGTGTGTGTGTGTGTGTGTGTGTGTGTGAACTCAAATCTCAGAGGGATTTTAGTTTATCTTTAGGAATTCACTAAGGTCAATCACTTGGTGGAACATATTTTAGCCCCTGCGTTTTGTTGAATTTTACAGAAAAATTAACAAAAAAATAACAAAAGTAAAAAAAAAAAAAATTGGTATATGGAGCCTAGGTCTTTTCCTCTTCTGGTTGGCTCCTGGATTCCCGGAACAAAGACGAGATGAACGTAAGTGAACGGGGCTATGAGAGATATTTTTAACTCTGTTTCAATGCTCTGAATCACACACATGCTGTACTTCTACTTAAATTAAAAGTAATTATGTGAGTTTTGACTATGCTTGTCAGACACTTTGAGGTTGTTAGCTTGTAAAAATTCATAATTAAAATGACTACAAATCAGACGTTACATACATGACATCACAGCAGAATCTCACTTACTTACCACATGGCCAGATTTTCAGTGGTTTTCTCCATGTTTAAGGCTCCTTCAGTCATCCTGAAAGCAAGATTCAAAGCTCGCTAAACTCACAACCATTTTCTTTTACGTGTCTGGTTCGATGATGTCAACATGGTGAGATGCATTTGTAGTCCTAAACACCTTTTACACAAAAAATCCCAAAACACTTTGTAACCAGCTCAGTCATTCTCCTAATCTGGCAACATTCAGTTAGCTTTAGCTTAATACAATAAATGTAAGTGAATGGTAGTCGATATGATTATTAAATAACAAAGAAAAATTTTGGATCAGTATTGAGCAAGTTTCACAACATGCTAGCTGTCACCATTCACTTACATTGTTAATGCTAAGCTAAAGCTAATGGAATACTGCCAGATTAGGAGAATGGTTCCAAAATGCTTTTTTCACCCTAACCCTGGTGGATATAACAAACTGCATTTCACGTAGATGTGGAATATACCTTTAACCGTACCACATCTGTTGGGCAGATATGTTGAAGTAGTTTAAATAATAGATGTTAGCAATTAACACTTCACTCTAAAATGTTATCAGGTTCATTAAGGTGGAAAAATCAGTAAATATTGTCTCTATCTCTTTAAATATCATTAAAAGTGCTGAAATTAAAATACATAAATGCTGTTTATCATGGATATTATCCTCCTTTTCCTTTTGTAAACTATCTGGTGTGTTTTAGTGTCAAATGAGATGAAAGACTTTTACCACTTTGTTATTTTTTCTCCAGGTAATTTATATTATTCAAATATTTGATGAATATTCTTTTGAATAACTTCTGTAATTCTAATGAACTACAAATTCCATCTTAATTTGACACTGACCACTTATTATTAATATATTAAAATAATTGTTGCAGAAAGTTGACTCAAAAATGTAGATCAAGTTGATAGAAGTGGTCATGTGATTGGCTCCATGTGTTTGTTTACGAAGAGGAGGCGACACAGCCGCTGGCAGAAGGATCAGAAAGAATCAGCTGCCTCTCTGGGAGGTGTTAGACTGTAAATATTATTGGCATGCTGACAGCCGCCCACGTAAAATCATTTACAAGCACCATAATGGGCTCGCTCTTTCCCCAAGGTGTGAATGTGGATGAAGTGTTTTTATCAGCACTTATCCAGAGAGCAACAAGAGGTGTGCCATTTGATCAATCTGAGAATCACAAACAGCCTGTCGTCCTTTTTATAGTTGCATTTAAAAAAAAAGTGTTAATGTTCTGCTTCGGATTACTCAACGACAATGGGACAAGGCGAGCTGTAGAACACAGTACATCTGCTTTTAATTTGTGAAAATACAAAAATGAAATCCTGTACAGTTTATGTACAGGGCAATTTATACAAGACAACAAACTGTATGTGTTACTGAGTAATGACATAGATATCACCGTAAGACTGTCATCGTTTCGACGAGTCAATGCGCTTAAAAAAAGTGCACAAAATGATTGAAACTAGTCCGTTGAAGGTACTGCCAAACACACTACAAGAAATACTTTACAGATTTACACCAAATGCATTGCTTTGTGATGGTGGTGAAGTCTGTTTGTTTCCTTAAGACATTAGGAACATGTTCACCTCTAGAAGAAAAAGAACAGAACTAGCAAGCCCCTTTTCGCAGTTGTGGGTCTTCCTCGAGTCCTCTGTTGGCTTCAGCACTGCCTGGCACATTACTGGCACCGAGGGATGGCGGATGGTCCCTGCGCCGACAGAAATGTCAATCATTTGCTTCTCTCTTTGTTTAAATTCTCAACCATCCAACATAAAAAAATGAACTGGACTGTGATGCATCATGTGTGGATTTAGAATGTTACGGATTGTTGTTTTTAATGTTCTTTTTCCTTCTTACTCAGTGGTCCTGACGTAAAGTGACAACAGTGCCAATATAGCTATATATAATTATCGTCATTTATATAAGACATGATTCGTAGGAGTGACGTATCCATTCTATGATTCGTAGGAGTGACGTATCCATTCTATGATTCGTAGGAGTGACGTATCCATTGTATGATTCGTAGGAGTGACGTATCCATTGTATGATTCGTAGGAGTGACGTATCCATTCTATGATTCGTAGGAGTGACGTATCCATTCTTACTGAAACTGCTTCTTCATAAGACATTATCTCGTGGGTGTACAATTCTCTAAGGTGTTGTCTGAACACATGAAATGCACGGTTCTGATAGAGCTGTTTGTCATGCATCTACTACACGTAGCAGTTTATGGTGTTAAGATTGGTCATGGAGTACATTCAAGTAGCCCTCCAAGACAATCCTGTGTCAGGCAGTGCTTACAGCCAAAGGAGGACTTGAAGATGCCCACTTCATGCGATATGTGGCTTTTACATCTAGCAGCAGGCTAGTGTTTTAATGTAAACCCATAACTTTACATTTAATAGGTGTGTGAGATGGCCAACAAACAGCTCTATCACGAGTAGCAACACAAGAAGCTTCATCTTTGGAGAAACAGTTCTGGGATTTTGGTCGTTGAAACAAAAAAAAAAATAAATAGGAACTAAACAAGAACCTAAAAAGGCATAAATATAAATGGACAGAGATAAGGCTGGAGCCGAATGCCATTTAAACATGGACGCTGGCCATCGTAACGGTCACAAATGTTGTGAATTAGCTCAAAACGGCAAAGGAACCAACAATGCCATTCTGGAAGGGGGGGAGTCAAATACACAAACTGTACAGAATAATTTAACACTAGGTGCAGTTGTTTGTGGACAGCTAAAAGGCTAATTTCATTGTTGAAATCTGAGTGTAATGTTAACGGTCTCCTCTGGGGTTTGGGTTTACATTGCTCTTTAGGAGTGACCCTCATTCTCCCAAAGTAAAAATAAAATTATGGAGTCTGGTCATTTTTGTTGAGTTATTGTGCAAGCTAATAGCTGAGTGATTTCAAAATATATAATAAACTATGATTGTCATTATGTGTCTAAATCCGCTCAGACTTTAAATTGCTAAAGAACTAAAGGAAGAAAGCATTTTTTGTCTCGTCTGATGTTGCTTGGGGATTTCTGTTTGCAGATGAGATGTCCCGAACTTGGGGCTGACACCTTCCAGTCCTCTGGGAGTCCGGCTGTCAGCACTCGTCCTCCGCTTCTCTGATGGGTTGAATCAAGCTGCTTGTGGGTTTATTCTGACTGATCTGGTTGACGGTGAGAGTATTCACAGGTCTGAGCTGCATGGTCCTCAGGTGGGTTTTCGCTGGCTCATCTGTAAACCATGTCTTTTCTGAGAAGCAGCCAAAATTATAAAGAGACAAAAAAGGGGAGGGAAGACATCAGAAGGTTAATGCTGCATGGAGTTTGGAGATTACTGGTTAGTGTGTGTTTGATGTGCACATCAAGCATATAAACTAATGGGGTTAAGGGGAAATTCTAACATGATACAGGCGGTTCACCTGGAAGGAAAACATTGTTAAACACACCAGTTATTTGCACTGTAATGTCGCTGCTCCAGACATGTTTTTATTTAGTAGTGTGAAATCGCTAAAAGCATCTCTTATGCCTTTTACTTTTAAGGAGCAAAACTTTATAGTAACATTTTAAAATTATCTTGATCAGTAGTTTTTCAGGCGTTCTGCAGGTTTCTCAGTTTTTCTTTAGACTTTTTGATTCATCTTCTGTCTTGTTCTGACCCATGACAACATGTCATGCTGCAAATGCTTCAAAATAAGAAAACTGGACAAGCAGTGGGAAAAAGCAGAACTCCATAAAGACAAGACCTCAGAGGTATCATCCTTTCATTGATTATCTACAGCAATGGTTGCTGAATGTTTCAGCTTTACCCACTTTTGCAACAGGCTGCTAGTAACAAAGTGACTGATGAACCATTTAAGAGTTTGGTTTTCTGTGAGTTAAAGCCTTTTTATGTCGGAATGATTCGTGGGTCAGAAGCAAGTTGCTCAACAAACAAAAATTCTGTAAAAATGAGTGGAAAAAAGTAGATTAAGTGCTTTATAAGAAATACATTTTTATCATATTTTAAATGTTTGTTTCCAAGAGATCTACCTCTTTAACAGGATTAGATTGTTCTTCAGTTATTAGCGGCACCAGACCCTACATATATTCTCCCCTCTAGTGGAGGATCTAAGTAATACATGCATCAAGTGCAAACTTCATTAGTTATAGTGAAACATAATAGATAATTATATAATTGTTGGCAATAACAAAAGTTAAATTAGAATGCATACCTGACTATTCATTACCATATATTTACATGGTTAAAGAACTTCAGAAAGCCTAACAAATTACTACTCAAATTCACGTTAAAATATTACAAGAAGGTTTGCCACCTTGGAAACCAAATGGAAAGTTTGGAGGGGTGAGTTTCCCACAGTAACGAAAAAAACTTTTACCACTGACACATGCTGTTTTGGTAGGCAGGCATGCAGGTCATCAATTAAACAAACCCAGTTTTCAGCTTTGCCTCCATGGTAATATTACTTTAAACCACACATATCAAAATGAAATACCTTAATGCATTTTTGGGCTTAGTGCAGCTTTCTTTTTGAAATAAAGAAGGGTTAGGGTGGTGTTTTATTTTTATGATCATGCGCTGTCAGTAGAAGATAAGGCTCTGGTTGTAAGGTGGGCATTCACATGAACCTAGTGGTCAAACATCACATCACACAGATCAAAGTCTAATCATTCAGTTACAAACACATTCTGCAACAAGAAGTGGTGCATGGGTTACAACCATGCAGTAGAACCTGGTACCCTTTCATTCAGAGGGTAAAATGTCAGCGAGGATATGACCGTGCACGGTGCATTCTTTAACATCATGCATAATTGCTTAATTCCATACCTTGCCCCACTCTGTTGATCATTGTTGCACTTTAAAAAAAAGAATGTAGTAAACTATATGTAAGCTAAAAAGTTAATGTGACCATATATACAAGAACTCTGCACAGCACGAACAGAAGAAGCACAAAAAAACCTGATGCTCTAGGTCTTTACATATGAATGCAATTTATACTAAACAGTAGGTTGTGTCAAAATGAACAAATAATGGAGAATTTCTTCTGCTATTATAGGATGTATCAAGCAGCCATATTGTTTTCATGCCTGTTGCTAAAGCAGCTGGATTGATAGAAAACCCAGTGAAGCATGAAGGCAACATATCAAGTGGGTGAAATATTCTTTAAACATGTGCCAGTTCAGTAGATGAGCATGTTAATTCAGCAGATCATTAATCATAGAAGGCTCTTTTGAAAATAAGTAAAAGAACATGCTTGGTGACAGCATGAAAAGTCATGAAAGTCATGAGACACCAATCATACTCGATAGGAGAGGAAACAGTTCCTACATGCCTCCTGATACTATTGAAACTCATCAAATGTTTGTACAAAGTTTCCCAAAACATTCAGATTCCGTGGTTCCCAGAGTTAACGGCCTTTTCTGGGGTTTGATTTGTAGTCAAACTCTTGGACAAGGTTATTGGTAGAAACACTTGTATGAACTGTTTTATTAAGCTTTAGTGCCTCATTACAAACTAGCCACAAGCAGATGTGCAATAAAAAAACACTCAGAACTAAATGTGTTACTAGAAGCTAAGTTTTAGCCCTGGAGCTAGTAGCTTTTAGCCTGGCAAGCCAGACTAAATAAATATATTATTTAGTCTGGCAACGCTCCATTGACGGCTCTCGGTTGTGGGGCGGGTTCTACCGTTGTCTTTCAAATGATCTCCGCATGCCACTGGACAATGAATGTGACATACTCTTGTTTCACTCTGTTGCATCATCCCACCCACCAGGCATATAGAGTGCCCTGATTGGCCCACAAAGCGGATAAAGCTCTGTGATTTGTTCACTAAGCAGATAGAGCACTATGATTGGCCCACCATTATGGACCAATCACAGCTCTTTTTGTGTTTGAAACCCCTCTAAAGAGTTGTGATTGGCTAGCCAGAGTCCTGGTAGGAGCTGCGGAGGTTCCAATGGAGCGTGCCTAGACCAAACTTTGCAAAGCAAGAATTTGGTCTAGTTCACTAGGCTAAGTAGCTTTCATAGCCCATAGAAAACTAGGCTGATAGTGCCCTCATGTTTGTTGCACACGTTTCAGTGGTGGTGTATTTCTGTTTGTTGCAGCTCCAGAGTATTGCCAAGATTAAGCCATTGCTGTTGAGGGCTCATTTGAAATCAGTTTTACATGCATTTGTATTGTCACGCCTGGACTATTGCAATGCTGTGTATGCTGGTGTGAGATCAGGGTCAAATTACCGCATTCAGTTTGCTTAGAATTCAGTTGCACAATTTCTCACTGGCTCTAGGAAGAGGGAGCACATAACTCCTGTGCTGATTCAACTTCACTGGCTCCCAGTTAAGTATCGAGTTTGGTTTAAGACCATGTACGTAAGGCCCTACAGGGCATTCTGCACTGCTCCATAGATACGCCCCCTCGTGGGCTCTGCGTCAGGGGCGTGTCCAGGGAGTGGCCTGGGGTAGCACATGCCACCCTTAGATTCTGATTGGCCACCCCAGGTGCCACCACGCTAATTTTCCTTTAAATAGGCTTTTCATTGTCCACATAAAGCTTGGGGCTAAAGCAAAAAATATAAGCATAACCATTGGTGCCACCCATGCACAAAGTTGTGCCTCACCTGGGCCACCCCATTTTAAAAGATCTGGACACGCCACTGCTCTGCGTTCTCCCGAGTTTCTTCACTTTGAAACCTTTTGAATTTCAAATTGCTGTAGCATCTCTCCTATAGGAGGTGATGAGCAGCTTTGAATTCAATCAGTTTTCTAATTGTTGGTCAGTGATCAGAATGATGGTTAACATCACAAACCAATAGCTATGCTTTTATTCTTGACTTTACGCATTAAAACTCCGTAGCAACGTGTTCATTATTTGAAATTGAGTCAATGAAATACACACTGACTGAAGTCAAAAATAAATGTTTTTATTTATTTCAGCTATGTTGGATTTTAAATGTGTTTATTTGATACATTTTCAGTGGTGTCTAGCATAAAAGAATGCCTTGAAAGTCATAGTGTGTGTGTGTGTGTGTGTGGGGGGGGGGGGGGGGGGGGCACTGGTGCACCATTTAGACCAAGAACTAGAGGAAACTTCACAAGAAGGCGATTCACAAGAACAAATAAATGAATGAATAAAAAAAAAGGTCATCAGTGGATCCCGGGAAAGGTCAAATTGGTAGATTAACCAAATATAACCAAAAATGAAACTTACGTTCTTGCTGTGCGTTTGTCGTTTTTACCACCTTAATCTAGGCCTGGGCGTTTAATCGATTGAATGAATTTATTCAAATTTTTTGTTGCAGGCGATTTAAAGAAAAGAGTAAATCGAAATTTTATGTAATAGCGCCCGACTTTGTGGTAATAACTACAATAGTTACCAATTCACCTAACTGTCATTAAGTGTTAAACAGGCATAATTGAAACTTACATGTGACTTTAATAACCAACAGCTTCTGCTTGCAAAATATCTGGACACAATTAATACTCCATGGTGGCAAATAACATTTAATCAAAGTGTACCATTTTTATGGAAACAGAAAGGTATTAGTAGACACAACATTGTGTAAACTTTAAGACATGAAATTTAAAAGTGCAGTTCAAGTACAACAGCATTAAATATGAACAGATGCAAGTTGTCAGATCAGAAGTTGAAAAGCTAAGAGGTGAAGAGAGAGTTTTAACAGAAATAAATTAAAGGTGTGAAAATTCTTGTCCACTCTGACTAGAAACTGCAGAACAACGTCACATTTATAAAGCAATGCTGTTTACTTTTCACAAAGAAAAGAAGCTTTGCAATTATTGGCCCCGTTATTAAAATAATAATGAGAGATAATGCAAATACAGGAGTTGAACCTTAGCTGAAACTCTTTGTGCATGTGTTTCAAATACAACAGAGAGACATCGGGTTGTTGTTGTAGATTTAGATCAAATCTAACTGTCACAAACTGAATCATAGATTATCCATGTTCCCATCATTAAAACGTCCAAGGGTAAGGGGAGACAAAAAGTCTGTGCTCGCAAATAATTAATTTCTTATTCTGACCCAATTTATGGACCGCTCCTGTTAAAGAAGGAAATCTGAATACTGCATCGTTTCATTAAATACAAACTTAGACGTACAAGTGACACATGCATGCACATTCAGACTAACAAACATACATCCAACAAACAGATGTGGAACAGTCCGTCCAAACCCTGAAGACAACGACACACAGGACAAGACTGCTGGCAGGCACAGTTCACAGACACGAACAGGCAGAGAGCTTTAGAGGAGCACATACTTTTGTTTGTCTCGTAAGTCCCTGCTTTTGGTGCGATTGGTGCGGTTTGCAGTTGGGATAGAGTGGACGGACGAGCTCTTTTTGCTTGAAGAATGTGAAGAATGAGATGAGTGACACAGGCTGGTTCGAGAATGGCCAGCGTTGTGGTCGAACTGCATCAGGCAGAATATCAGGTCAGAGGGCACCAGCTCAAATGCATACGGGGGATTGGTTATGACGTACCTGGAAGAGAAACAAATCAGACCAGGCGTGAGTTTAGTTTTGCCCTTTCTGTAAATTTAATGTTTTGAGCATTTTAATCTCACCGTTTGGTACACTGGCTTTGTGTGTTTAGATGTGCATCTCGCAACCGATAGATGCCAAAACACAGCATGTTATACGTTTTCAGGGCTTTACAAAACAGGTCACCATAACAGCCACCATCCTGCAGACAACAGTACAAATAGATGTCTTAGTCTAAAGCAATAAAGGTCCATTTTTAAGACTAGTGTGAGCTCTGGTAAGCAAGAGGGCATGGAGTCATCAGCACCTTGTATTGCTTCTAAAACAACTTATGCTAAAGAGCTGGGGTCTCATTTATAAAACATTGCATGGAATCCTTACTAAAACCGTACTCAAGCTCAGCAAAAAAATGTACTTAAGCCAAGTAGGTTTGTGATCTATAAAACATGGAGTATGCACAGCTGCACGCAATCTCCGCTTTATAAATCAGAGACTAACGAGAAAGGTTCTCAGCTGCTTTTTAGTCACATCCCGCCCTGAACACACCCACTTACTGCCATAAATGGTCAATGCAAAGTGCCTTGTGGATCTCATGCATATGCATAAGCCGGCTTGTTGCAGCATTTCGATCGCGACCGCAGATCAAGGAAGCGCTATTTCACAAGCAGAAATTGAGGTACTTGTGGGTGAGGTGGAGAAATGAAAGGAAGTGCCTTTGCAAAACAAATAAGAGAAAATCCACGGAGCTGCTGAAGCTGTCAATGCTGTGAGTTCTTCAGAAAGATCTGTGGCGGATATAAAAAAACGGTCAGATCAGGATTCCATCCCCAGACTCCCAGGTGAGAGTCATGCGCGCTAACCAGTCAGCCAAACGTACATCCCCCTTGGCCAAGTAGCCAGGGTGCATGATCAATCGGGTCACAGTGAAGGGACGCTCACACTGTCACAGGCACAGGACATTCTATCCCAATCTGTCCCCCTGCTAATATTCAGCATTCCGTATTCTGCACTTCAGGCTGTATGTGTGTGTGTGTGTGTGAGTGTATGTGTGTGTGTGTGTATGTGTGTGTGTGCGTGCGTGAAGCGGTACAAGTGATAATGCTGCTGGAATTCATAATTGTATCGTTCTCAGCAGCAGCACTGCAGGTGCTCTCCACGTTCAAAATGTGCGTAAGCAAATTCCTGAGTCAACTTAAAGTTGCACACATTTTCCCACTATGTTTTCTTTAATAAATCCCAAAGTGTGCGTGGAAAGTTGCTTACGGAGTTTTCCGACCCCGTTTATAAATGAGGCCCCTGATCACTATACAATTTTTAAGGATGCCCGAATAACATCAGTTTTACTCAGTTGGTATGGCGACACTTGGCTCACAATCTCTATTGTTGACGTACTTTCTGTTTTACTGCACCAAAGCTCAGGTAGACCAAAAACTAGTGATGTTCTTATGAGTGCCGTGTTTCAAATCTCTGAAGCACGAAGCCTGGCAGGGCTCAGGTGTCCAAATACATTTAAGTGGTTAAGGTTAATCCCATACCTTGGTATGGTAGGACTTGAGTGTTGGTGGATTTTTGAAGCTAGTTACAAATTCATAGGTTTGCATTTCCAGTATGTGTTTTAATAACATGCCACATCTCTTCTCAAAACACTTGATATTTTTAATAACATGCCTTACAATTAACAGCTTGTATTTATGGAAGCTGGTCATGTTTGATTACTGCTTGAAGCTGGAAATCACCAAAAAAACATTTGGGTTTAAAAGAACATTTAAAGGGGCCATATCATGGAAAATCCACTTTTTTGATGTTTTAACCATTTAATATAATTGTTTGCTAATGAAAAATACCCCCAAACCCATTTTTGGCTGCATTCACGTATTTCCTAGCCTAGTGACCTAGACCAAATTCTTGCTTTGCAAAGTTTGGTCTAGGAATGCTCCATTGGAACCTCTGCAGCCCCTAGCAGCATTGTGGCTGGCCAATCACTGCTCTCTATAGGGGTTTCAAGCTGAGAGTGCTGTGATTGATCCACAATGGTGAGCAAATCACAGCGCTCTTTCCGCTTTGTGGGCCAATCAGGGCCCTCTCTTCGTCTGTTGGACGGGATGGTACGACGCTTGTTTAAAATAGCTTTTACATCAATTTTAGACTATTTGGATTTGGGTTTTATTAGAATGGCAAGCAGATGCATTTATTTATTTAGAAAAATGATGTATTTTCACTTTCTTATACAGCAAACTGTCTCATTTACAGACATCCGTTGCAGTGACTACGTCACATTGTTCATTGACCAGTAGTATGCGGAGATCGTTTGAAAGACAACAGTAGAACCCACCCCACGATGAAACCCGTCAATGGAGCATTGCCAGACTAAGATTTTCCTGTTTCAGCTGCCAATTTTGAATGTTTATTTATCTGGCCAGCTTAGATTATGTGGCTTAGATGACAAGTGCCATGTAACAGACTTGGTAGTCTAGTGGTTTGAGTGCAGGTTCACATTCCGGTCTGAGCAGAAACAGTTTTCAACCCCTTATTGGTAAACTGTTTAAAATATAAGGACTAATATGTCTTTTTTTTTCTTTTTCTTTTATTTATTTTTTTTACTTTCTTTGTTTATAGCCAGTGTGGTGCCATGTGAGGTAAGGTAAGTAAATCAACTAAAATGCTGCTCGGAAATGACCTAAATTCAAAGATGTTTAGAGACAGAAAATAATCTATACAACTAAAATATAAAAGCAAGAAATCTGCTTTAGCTGGCTGAATAAATTACTGTCGACACCACCAGGATTTGAACACGTGGCAAAATTGAGATAGGAGGCAGACACCATTACAACTACACTAGCATGCTGTAGCTAATACAGTTACCTCTTTGTCCAAGACGCTGTTGTACGCATGTTTTTTGGCGCGGGTGTGGGCGGAGTTCCACTGAAACGAAGCATTTTATTTCTGGGTATAAATTCAAGCTGACTAAAATAACATCTCAATAGTGCCAATGGTAATATTTTTACATACACTGTGCCTACCTTTGTTCTCAAAGGATTAAAATAGCATGATATGGAACCTTTAAAACCAGACATCAGTGGTAGATACAGTGACATGCATTGTTTAGAATAACTTCATTGTACTTCTGATCTGTAGTCTGTGCTGTAAACAAATAAAAAATCACATAATATAAGTATCAAATAAATTTATTGACTGCTAGTTATTTTTAACATCAATGTTAACAATAATTCCTTCTAATTTGGCACCCAGATACCTCCATACAACTATTTGAGTTTTACTGTTTTATTTTTAAAACCAAATGTATCTGTAGTAATATAACATAATGGAGAATGTTTGCACACAATCCCTGCTTTCTTTCCCCTGGTCATATATCACAGCTAACCTTATTAGTCTGAATGCTTCCACTGAAGGCAGCTTTCATTACGCAAGAAGACAAAGATGGCCTCAGCAACTGGCTGACACGAGCAGTCACTTACCCCGAGGTCGGCAAAGGGCCCGTCGTACAGGGCCAGCTGTGCCACGCGACACCTGTCCCTGTTCGCCAGGGTCTGTGGCGTGCTGTAGCCGCCACGCAATGCATTCTCCTCAGCCAGCAGCCCCTCAAGCTCCGGTGTCGCACCGCCTGTTACCAATGTCCGGATCAAGGTGAGGATATTATCGTTGAAGTATGTCTGAAGGAATGAAGATAGAGGGGGTAAATCCTTAGGCAGATGCCACAACAATGCTGTTGCTACCATACCCTGCTCTGCAGTACAGGCTTCTTTCTGCTATCTGGAATTTGTTACATTCAATCTAAGCTAGTTTTTTTATCTCAGTACTATAGATGCTACCTTTTGAATTCATTCCAGTTATTAGTTTGTTGATTTTAACAAGAAGAAGTGTCTGCCCTTTCCCTTGCACTGCAGTCCCCTGTCTCATGCTTGAGCTTCAAAGTGACATCTCCCTCAGCTGCTGACAGCACTATTGACTAAGATGATGGATGAGGCCTGTCCATTAGGTAGCATTACCTTTGTCTATGCTGGAGCACACTTGAAGGCAGCTTTGTTCTAACCTCACTCCAACTGAAAGGCAGACAAATTAAGCTATCATGGCCACTACAAGTTCCAGCCCTGTCATTTACGGTTTGAACTGCTTCTTTGGTTGAAAACCTCTACTACCGACTTTTCTATTAAAACGTGTTTCCAGTTACCACCTTTATCCCTAAGATATTTACAGATTCATCTATATTCCTGACTTACAGCACTCATTAAGGAGTCCAGAACACTGACTGCAAATGCCGTCCCGCAGGCGAAAGGCTGAGTGAGGTACAACTCCGTATCTGGGTCATCATCATCGTCTTGGTCCAGGAACTGAACATTGGAGTCATTAACTAGTGGAGAAAACGTACGTTTCATGAATTATTCAAAAATTTCTTGTTAGCTTTCGGCTCTCTATAACCAGATCTCACGGAGCTGGTTTGGATTTCAGTAAACATGGACCAACAAGTACTTCATTCACGTGAAAAAAAGGAGGAAACAAAATGTAGTGGTTGTGCACAACAGGCAGAAGCTGCAGATATGGACTGTTCTGGGAGTATGCATGTAGAGTAAATGTATGTGCTCACAATCAAACCAATTGCTCTCAATTAGCTAAAATAGCTCCATGTTTTGGTTTTTAACTGAGTTGCCTCTGCTACACTCCATATCCAGGCCATCCGTGCACATTTATGACACCATGCATACTGTCAAAGTTCCAGGCCTCAAACTCAAAGCCCTCCTAAAGTCAGAATCAGGGAAAACCAATATGCCATTGTTTGTCTTGTAAATCCAAGACAGAACTTCCAGTTACTTGTACTTGCATGTCAGGTCAAATGAAAGCAATCCATTGCCTCAGAACCTTCTTTAAAAGATGTGTTTGAGCACAAAAATAAATAAAAATAAATCACATGCAGTAGCTGTGAGAAAGTAATGATGTAAAATTTAGTTGGAGAGCTGCTCCTTCTGTGAGGACAGAAATAAATGCCAGTCATATCGACAGAGCTGAGATGAAAGAAAGGCACGGGCCAGAGAATGAGATCCGACAGAAGATGCTATGAAAACAGCCACAAGGACTTCGGAGGGATCAAAGACCTTGTAATTCTTGGAAAAATAAAAGGGAGAAACTTTGCTTTGAGATAACGGGGAGGGAAGAGCGGGTGCAAAACAAGACAGGCAGTTTCAACCAGAACCATGGGTACAAGTGTGCTCAAAGTGATGCCATGGGAATGGACTGAACCTTTTGTACAGCGAGAGAAATCAAAAGAAAGCTGATATGGAGGCAGCAGCAGTTACGACACTGCAGACCAGGACACAGGCACTTCTTCTTACCCAGCTCAGTTATCATTTGTATGCTGGTCCCACAGCTTTTATCCTGACTGAGTGAAATCACAGGCAGTTTTTTGCCTTGCTTTGCTAATGGTGCTAGACAAGTGTTGAGGGAAAACAGTTAGGGGAAAACCCACATGAAAATTCCACTCGTAATACTATTAGCAGAAATCACACATGCAGCTCAAAAAACATCTCAATAATAGAAATCATACCTAGTTCGGTTATGATGGGAATGTTTGCCCCAGTGGTGACAGAGGTCTGTCGGACTAATCCATGGACTGGGCTGTTTTCAGGAGAGGATCTATCCATCCCTGGTGGTGTGAAGCCTTAATGGACACATATAACATGTTAATGCAAAATTCAGCACTTCATCAGAGGATCCAATCAGGCGTGTCAGAGGATATGAGACGCTGGAGCCTCTGATAAAGCCTCAACTCACTGAGAGCAGCGTTGCTGTATTCTTGTACGAGACCAATATTAGTCCATATATAATAGATGTGACACATGGCTCATTTTGTTCCCCTTTGACTGTGTGTGCACAGAGATGGAAACCTTCTACACACGCGCGCAGAAACTAAAACATGCACCGTGGAGCCATGAAAGAGAAAATAAATGATGCAAGATTGAATTCAAATTGACTTGACATTTCTTGCTTTCCTCAGACTGACAAGTAAGCACATTAAATCAGTGATGCTGTATGTATTATACATGTGCCATGTTTTGACATCCATCACTTGCTGCTGACTAAGGCAAATGTAAGGTCATACATGTATTAGGAGAATAATGACATTGGCAGAGAACCCCCCCCCCCCCCCCCCCCCTCTTTGGGTCAAAGGTTTCTAAGAGCATTTCTGTTAATGTCAAGTAATGACCACATTACTGATTTTAACAGCCATTACGTGCAATATTGATCAGTTAAACACAAATTTAGTAACAAGCACATCCAGTTACAGAAATCTAACCTTCCAGACCCAGTTTCTGTTACCACCAGTACAGTTTGTTAAGTAAATAGTTGTTACAGTGACCTGAGAAATAGTCAGTACGGTTTACTGTCGAAAGCAGCAACAACAGGTCAGCCATGCAGCACACAGTGAGGAATATCTTCTGTGCCAGGGCCCTGTCCCTTCCAGGCTGTGCAGTGAACTATGATAGGGTGCTCTTTACCTTGAGAGTTGGCCTGCAAGACCCCGATGCTGTCGTCAAACTGCATGGATTTGATGTTAAGCGACGCCAAAATGCACTCTTTGTCCTGCAGTGATGCATCGTCAATATTGTTCTGATTGGCTGACAGGATGACACACATGTCGCACAGGTTTATGTTGACGGCCCTTAGATCTGCTCTGCTCAACGGTGTGCCCTTTGAGAAGGAGAGGAGAAGATTTGGTATCACACCTGTGTGATGCTCAGCCTGAGTCATGGAATGACCAAAAACACCTCGTGTTAAAAATCACTGAGTGTTGCCGAAAGCTAAATTTGATGGGTTTAATGTAAATAAATTATTTGTGTTTGGGGGGAAAAATCAAGTTATTGATTAAATTCTTGGAAATAAAATCTAAACAATTACTTACTCTCAACCCTCCCACTGTCTTTATGGATGACCTCGCGAGGAAAGTTGACCATTGGGTCCATGTGGCAGGGGTGAGGTGGTGCTCACTCCTCACCCCTGCCACATGGACCCAAGGCATAAACCATCAACCCTGCTCAATGGTCAATGGTCAACTTTCCTCCCATTAGGACAGTGGGATGGTTAAATCATCTGATGTACTTATTACACCAGTATTACTTTCAAGTCAAGTCAAAATGTATTTATATAGCACATTCAAATGGCTGCACATCGGCAGTGAAAGTAAAGACAATAAAAGAGCTGGCAAAAGCATTACAAGAGAATAAAATCACAGACAGATAAAACAAAATACATAAAAATTACAAAGGAATTAAACAAAATTAAAAGATCACTGATTAAAAGATAAAAAGAGTAAGAACAGTCTGTTGGTTATCAAGGAAATGACGATGCACACAAATGCATTTTCAGACGTACTTTAAAAGAGGCCATAGTATCAGCTGTCTTAACCACAAGAGGCAAGCTGGTCCACAGGACAGGAGCCATCACAGAGAAGGCTTTCCTATATTGTATCAAATGCATGTCTTCTGAACCCTGATGGCGGATCAAAGTATGCAGGTGGGCAAGTCTCAATTCCATTTTTGTAGCATCTTTGGGGTTAGAGTTAATATTTATTTATGTATTAGGCTTTAAAGCATTTAAACACACAACCTAAAACCTTGTATATTATTCTATTAAAGTAGTAACAGTACCATAACATTGTTTTGTATTTCATACTTTCTCAGTGGCCTAGAGATATGAGTGTGCCCTGAGACAGGAAGATCATAGGTTCAAATCCCGGTTGGGTCATACCAAAGACTTTAAAAAACCTCCAAATGGTGTCCGAGCGTGGCCACCGCTGCAGCTCACCGCTCCCCTCAATGGGGATGGGTCAAATGCAGAGCTGAATTTCACCAGAGTGTGATGGTGACAATGGGACTTTGACTTTAATACTCTAAACTATTCCTGTGTTGTGTTTCCAACATAAAACTGAAATACTCACAGGCAGAATGGACACTTTTGGGAAATTATGTAGAGTTTCCCACTCCCGCTTCAGATACTCGAGGGAACCAACAAACACGATGTGCTTCAGCTCATGGTAGTGAAAGTTGCTGGCTCTTAGAGGCATGACAAAGTTCCGGAGACCAATCAGAGCTGACTTTACATCTCCGAAAATGCACACCACCACATGTCCACTCAAGACCGTCATGGCTGCCTCACTTCGGGTCTGAATTAGACAAGAAAAAAAGAGGGAATTTTGCATAAATGGGCAGTGCTAACAAACGTTTATGTGTTCTTTTTACAGAGACTGCTCACTCTGAACAGATGATGCATGATAATAATACTACATCAAAGTAATGTGAAAAACACCATATGTATTAGTACAAGAAATGTTCTTTGGACGAGACCTCTGCATTGCAAATGACGTGTCAAATACCTCATTACAGAGTGCTTAAGAGCCCTGCCAACCTTTGATGGTGCTTTGTGACAAGATGCATCTGTCACAGAGGAGAAGGGTGTCGAGGACTAATTAAGTGTGTTCGAGCAAAGTAGCAGGACCTACCAGAAGAACCTTCTCAATGTCCTTGGACGGGCACCAGTGAAACATTCCAGTGGAGTCATACTTTTTTATGTTCTCGTCCATGGTCTCAATTTGCTCGCTGCCTGGGATGAGGAGTGGATCATGCCTATATTTTTTTCAAAAGAGGAAACAGACCTTCACATTTAGTAGATGTAAAGAATTTGTGTTTTCTTTTTAAACTCATAACTACTGTTTTTCAACAAATCAAAAATATGTCAAATACTTGTTTTTATTTTTGTTTTTTCTCCTCTGCTGATTGCTGTCAGAGGCTGTTTGTGGCAACGTCAGCAAAAATCACCATGTCATCAAGCAGAGTGACATCAGCATCAGCAACCAGGTGGAAGGAGATGGCAACAACACGCTGCTCTGACTGGCGTGAGCAAGAAGATGCAATTACACCCCCTTTACTGCATACAGCTTCTGATGGGAGTGTGCTGCGTGGTAAAAGGTTTAACAGACCAGACTTTAAATATTTCAACAATTTGCCCAATTGGATTTGCTTTCCAAAGCGAGGAGTATTAATGTTTAAACAGACCATCAGAACTATATAAGCTAATTTCACCAAGGGGAGGTTTGAGGCTCAACCTACCTGACACTGACCAGAAACATGAGTATCTGTGGTTGGACCACACTTGTTCTGGTTGCAGTGAAAAGATATATAATAACCTGCTCTCTCAATAAATACAATAACAGTTTTTAACCTAAAAAAAGTTCTAAATCAGGGGATGAAAATGCACAGAACATAAATATCAAAATTGAACCATTATACCAATAAATGCACAAAACTAGTCGTGTTAACAGAGGCTGCTCAACATTCCCTGCACTATAAATCGACTTTGTCAGATTCAGATCACGGTTAAAGATGCAGCTCTAGGAAAATTCAGACAGCAGCCTTCTGTCCCCGTCAAAAACCTTTAAAATTCTCCCAGTTGTCTCTCCATAAGTGGAGCATATCTTTAATCCATGCGAGTACTCTAAAAGAATGCCACCTAAAATAACATGTTAAGTATGCATGAAAGTGTCAGCTGAAACTACAATCCCTCAGGCTGCAAGAGACTGAAGCAGAAAAAACTCGCCTTTGGGCTCATACACCCTGAGGCAAGACCTGGATGTCCTTTCTAGAACAGACTCAGCTGGAGAAGAAAATGACTTTTTTGCTACTTCCCGTCTCTCGGTGGAGGTGGTTTTAATTTCACAAGATGATGCATGCACAACAAATGTTGTAGATCATGTGAAGTGTAATGTCCTAAAATGATGTAAATCTTCTGGATATAAAATCGTTCTTTATTTAAAAGGGATCAAAGCTTGTGTTGTATGTTGAACAAGCAGCTGCACCAACAATGCAAAGTCAGCATCTTATTGGAAGTATTTACAGCAAATTGCAAACAGCATTCACACAGGGGTTTCTACATGTCTCAAAATATTAGCAAGGTTCTCAATTTCATTTTGCCCTTGTGCTAATGGAAATTTATTTATGACTAATTTGCAACAAACTTTCCCTTACAATAGTTAAGTTGTTGGGAGGCATCTAAAACTTGTCTCAAATCTGTCTCAATTTAGTTTCCATGATGAATCAGAATTATGAAGAATTGAACTAAGAATGACATCCTGTGGTCAAATCCTAATGCTAGTAGCTAACGATAACATGAGTTTTTTATGCTATTTGTCATCTACAGTGTTTACAACAGGTTTAGTTGAGTTAATAGAGTTTAGTTTTAGATTATTTTGCATTTAAATTTATTATAAAACATCACCAATGCCTCCAAGATATACTAATAAACATTCATCTAACAACTAAATGTACAACTGCCTGAAACATCCAAGACTTGGAGTTATTTTTTAATTTTATCATCAGCATTTTACTTATCAGAACAAACCCAAGATCAACTCATTCTGAAAAATTCAGAGTTAATCAAATAATATCCTCATAAAAACTTTCTCTCATCTGGTTGTATTCTACTTAATGTAAGAAGAGTCAAGGTACTTAGAGGTTTTACACCTTGGCTAAATATTTCATCAAAAGTCAAATGTTTCAGCTCTCGCTCAGAGGAGCCTCTGTCACTTCGGTTTGTCCTTGTGGAGATGACTGGTGAGGCAGAGCTCTGCCAGGATAGCTATCGCTCACTGTCAGCCATGACGGCCTGTCACTATCCCACACCGCCAATTGCCTCAGCAGCGCCACGGCAGACATGATGTGTATGTCAAGGCACTTCAACGTGACCAAACACATTTTGACATGGCACAGTTAGATGTGCCTTATGACCCATCAAGGAGCCTGTGAAAGTGGTGTTAATTTCAGCGAGGTCGTCGCTGCTGAGCTCCAGACAGGATGGGTTCGTTTGCTGGACCTAGAAGTCAAACTGTCACCTTAAAACAACTGTCATATCTGCAAATCACACATCATCATCATCATAAAACATGAGGCCAGGTGTCTTCTAAAGGAATGTAATGACAGTGGAGAGAGGGAGAATATGGAAAGCAGTCAAGCGCATTATGTAAATCCCATAGTTCATTATCAGTGCACTTGCTGTGGACAAGCACATGGGCTGTGGAAAGGTCTTTAAAAACCCTCCCATCATGCAAACTGACAAAAGCTTGCTCTTAAAAACCCACAGCCAATCTGTTGATCATTACTTATTTACAAAGGCCTTGAGGCCTCAGGTCCTATAAAAACACATTTGATACAGTATACACCCAGATGCGTTTTCTACCACTCCCTCTCTCTCTGCTTGTTGCAATGAAGTATCCCTTAGGCTACCACAGTGAATCCCTCTTCAGACAGCAGGCGCTGAGTGGAATAACACATCCACCTGTATTGCAGTGTATTAGTGTGGCAAGTAGATGGATTGGTTTGGTGGGTTGATATTTAGCTGATGGCTATACCGCTGGAAAAGCCTGGATTTGGTTACCCATGAGCCTGGAAATCACCTGCAGCGATTCGACTTGAACACCGCTTTGAAGTAAATCAAACAAGTGCAAACGCCCACCTGAAAAACCAGAGGCTTTAGATCAAAGGACATGCTAACTGATGCAAATAAATAATTTTATTTATAATACAACAAAGACACTTTCCTAACTACTGAATATTATGTATCTGTACAGTACAATACGGCATTAAGTGATACAGACATGTGGGTTTGACTTCCAAATGTCAAACAAATAGCAGCCAAATTAGCAATGGGAACATAAAGTCAACTGTCAGCTTTGATTAACACTGAATACATCAGGCTGCAGGTCCTCCCTGTTGCACGGTTTCCTTATAACCTGACACTTAATGATGAAGACTACTACTATTATCATTCCAGTAATGGCCTCTTGTTGAGTAACAGTGTTAGCTCCAGTCAAGATCAATAAGCACTGATTTAATTTCATGAGACAAGATAAAAGCAAGGTAGCATTTGAATTCGCCTTTCATCGTGATGATACGCATTATCTGTGGCCCAACTTGCTGAAAAGACCTCGGAGGGATCCGACAATAGACGGATAGCCCTGGGCTATCCATCCTTTAGAGCCGGCCTCACTGCTAGGTGCTGTCATTAGTGCCAGGTCTGTTTAGAAGCTCCGGTCTCTGGGTGTTGCATAAAGCCTAGTGGTGTGTTGTCAGTGAAAACATGGGCACGGAAACTGTTCAAGATGTTCTCCATAACATTCTGGAGTCTTACCTCATTATCTTGGGCGAAGAGTTGGGCGAATTTCTCGTGCCTCCATTACGCTGCTTCTTTTTGGGGGACAGCGCAGACTGTTGGTCCTCTTCAACTGCAACAAGAATTGAGGTGTGGGATCATCCGAAAGCAAAAGAGATTAGAAGCACACAGCGATAGAGAGAGACGGCACAACACTCCAACTTTTGAATGGCGAAGACATGAAACATAAAAAAGTCTTTATGAACCTTTGTGTTATGATCTGTGTTATTTAGCACATGCTTTAAAGAAAAATCCACTTCAGCTATTAGGATTAAGATCATTTTGTGCAAATGTATACCAAGACTTGGATACCACATTCTCCTTTAGTAAAAGCAAAAACCGGCAAATATTAAACACTCATCACTAGAAACTGAGGCAAAGTTTATGTCAGGACTGAATCCGCCGTCAGTCACTGGACTCTTGGGGGTGGCGCCCTTGGATCGTATAATTAGGTTGGCCCTCGTGCCAGAGTGATTTATGTACAGCTGAGATGCCCCTCGGACATTGTCTTTATCACTCCACCAAACTGAGCTGAGCTGAGTGAAGGATAAGTTTTACCCAAGGGTCAAGCAATCAGGCAAATATTTTCACAAGGTGATATCGCAGCTGAAGGAGGCCACTCTCTGGCAGTGAAAAAATAAATAAAAACAAGCAGCAAGAGGTGGTTTCAGTAGTGGCACTTTAACAGCCATCATTCAGTGAAAATAGCTTGTTACAGGTTGCTAAAAACAAACTTACTATCTTTTTAGTGACACTTCAAGCTGTGAACATCTTTTTAAATTCAGAACAAACTCTAAGATCACGCTCCTCAGACGGTTTCCTGCTCTGACAGGGCTTCTGCGACCGACACCATAATGGAGCATGTTGAAGTACATGGGGCCTCCAGTGGAGGGGGGACGCCCCAGCACTCGGACCCTTCACATCTCGCTCGGCCTGTTCAATATTTAATGTTTCACAGCTGACAGCTGCACAGACTGGGTCATTAGTAAAGAATGCTACACATGTAACCACTCCAGCCTGGCAAGCACATGCTTCGGTTGTGTTGTTGAGTCCGAGTCTGCCAAACACACCAAGGAGGAGGAGGAGGAGGGGGTTGGTTGGCCCTTACAATGCCTCTGACTGAGTGTGACGTTATTGGAGTGACCGGCGTGGTATCTGTATTTCACCGGCAGGCTTTGCGCCCGCTGCAGTCGGCTGGTTTCTTCTGCCAACCCTGAAAGCTGGCCGACTCGGGTCAGGTCTCCAGAGCACGTGAGGCTCAGTCTCAGGGCGGAGGGCCTGGTGGAAGGCTGCAGGCTTCCCTTGTGATTATTTACCAAAGGGATGGAGACAGGAACCACTCTTCTGGGCCCCTTACAGACCTCACTGGCAGGGCTGGGGCTCGGTTTAGCGGGTTTGTAACGACACTGTGATGACCCGATTTGAGAGCTGCTGTTTACATCTAAATGAGGAGGAGTCAAAATCAGCAGCTTTCCAGAAAAACACACTTTTAGTTTGAGTTAAGTCAAAAATCCCCTCAGAAAAGAGAAAATAATTCATCATAGTTTTACAATTTCTAGTTTTAACCTTTTAGTTTCTTCAGCCAAACAAAAAGTTGTGAGTTGATTTAAACCGACTCCAATAGGACCTGCAGTGTGTGTGTTAATAAAACATTTTAATAATTAAAGAACAATCACTGGTGTGGCTGGATAACTCCTTCTGGCACAAGAATGCCAATAGCTGAATAATTTAAAAAATATCTCATTTTTATTTAATGCCACTTAACCACTTCGTATCACCACAGATGTAAACTTCTATTTGACATTTACTTTGATATTTATTATAAATATGAATTAATAAACACATTCAGGTGTTTCAGCAATTGTTTTGCCACAAGAACAAGACACTGTGCAGCTTAAAGTTTCAACCAGGACTAAAAAGGAGGTAAAGCATTAACAAAACACTCACAGAAGAGGGATTTTATTTAGTTAAGAAAAACGTCTCTGGGCTAAAACTGGAGAAGGGAGATGATTATTTTAACGGTCAGTTGTCTAGCAGATTATCCTCCCCATTTCAGACCTCCAGTAACTATCTGCCTCCCATCAAACATGAACAGCACTTCTTCAGGAAAACACAACGTGGCAGATGTGTTGCACAGATCTTGTTAAAGTGGAAGAAGCTCACTTGATGGTTGGAAGAGAACTGTAGCTATCTTCTTCTGTTTTTAAAAATATTTAATTCATCTAGAATAATTAGCAGAAATCATATGCTGCTGTATGAAAATGTTTAAAATTGTTCAGTGATCTAATGGATCTGCTCTTAAAGTGAAGCAGTAGCTCCATCTGCTGCTGAGTTGTAGATTACACTAAAAAACCACGTTTCTAAGGGTTTGCATGTAAACCTTAGCAGTAATGGATGAGGACAGAGCTGACAGTGAGATGCAGCAGGTTAGAGACCGCTCAGGTGGTGACAGCTCGGAGCGCATGTGGGACAGACCAGAGAGAGTAGGAATTAAAACTTACTTGACTTGATATATCCATTATAGCTATTTTTAGCTGAGAAAAAAAAAAACAGAAAAAAGGATGAGTGGTTACATGAGAAAACAGGCTGCCATGAAAGCAAATTAGAAATGATAAACAATACATTTAAAGGCAAAGGAGTTTGTCTCTTTGGACACTGAAAATACAAAATTAGACCTTAAGAGGAATAAAATGCAAGATGTGGAAAAAAATATTAATCATTTTCAAAGTCAAATGTGGGATTCTAGGTAAAAACTTGTAAAACTGGGTTTATTTTGAAGATTAAAATGCTTTTTACTAATACATTACAATTATATATTTTTTGTCATAATCTTGTTTGTAATTCAGTCACTCTTTTCCCTTTAATCTGTAGCTAATAACATAACAGTAAATCAGCACAGTGTTCAAAATGACCTAAAATGATCAAAATGGTGTCAGTTTTACTTCAATAATTAGCTGCTCATTTATCACCACTGTGGATAATACCATTACAGGGCGAGTAAATCCCTCTTTTTTCATTTTAAAGTTCACATTCACTTGTTTTTTTCTAAGTATTTGCTGTGTTCTCTAGTATAAATATTGTGTGAGTCATTCTCTGAGAAGTAGAAGTTAGCCAGGGGTGGGACGTGGGAGCAGAAGACGGCAGGATTTGGAGTGTCTTGCCTCTGATTGGCTAACAGCAAAACAACTCTACTCCATTTACTCTCCAACATTAATGTTTTAGCTCCACAAATAAAGCCTGGATGAGCTCTATCCTGTTGTGGAGATGCTAATGCTAATGTTAGCTTCTACTAGTGGAGACATTTTCTGCGGTTTCTTGGTCGCTAAGTCAACAGCCTTCCCCGTCGCGGGTCAAGATGGGGAAGTCCATCCGTTCCATGCTTATCCACGCAGGGTCGCTGCCAGTCCATCGCAGGGCAACGCAGAGAATGGGTGAGTCCATGAATGCTAAGTGTGACATAGATCTGACAGGCTTTAACACGAGTGTTTGTCTGTCTATTCTCTATCGATGGCTAAAGCAAAAAATAGTGGTAGAAGGCAAGTTTTTCTCTGTTATTAAAAACATATTTTGACCGGTGCATGATTTTGATTCACATGCTGTTTTTAATTCACGTTTATTTGTCATGTTAGTTCCTACACCTGTGTCGCTGAGAACTTTCCTGCTAGCAAGCAAGGGCCTTAGTGAGAGTCACCTTTTACATTTGTGAATCCCACACTTGCTCATTAGTGAGTTATTTTGACCCCTTGCTCACAATAAAGGTCACGCATTGAGCTTAAGGCAGAACGGTGACAGCAGTGTTCAAACGGGGACCTCGCTGGTCCTGGCATCTGTCGCCTGCAATCGGAGGGCGTGAGCAGAGTCACAGGACTAACAGGCTAGCATCTGTCCCACAACCGGAGTAAAACCGAGGGGCGGGGGCACTTGACTGCCTGGTGGTTAGGAACTGTCAGGCTGAGTTTCTTGACAACCGGTAGCACTCCTAAAATGAAAATGCAAACATAATTTTCATGTCAGGCCGTATAAGGGCCTCGCTTTCTGCATCCCCCACACCATGTCGACAGCGACTCTGGAGCTACGCTCAAGCTTTGCTAGCCCGGCGAATTTCACAACACACAGTGCTGGGAGACACATTGAGGGGTGGAAACGCCCAGAGACGCTCAGCTCTACACAGCATAGTCTTTGATCCAGAGACATTTGCTAAAACTGTGTGACATTCCAAAATGTTTTCCAGCAAAATGTATCAATGCTCTGCAACCTCTGACACATTCTCCATGCCTGCTGCCATGCATCAGAACAAAACCCTCAGGCTTTAAAGAGAAATCACTCCTGAATTAAGAGTTCCTGTGCAGCTTGGTTCAGTTCAAATCAATTCTTTTAAATCCACAGCTATTTGGTGCTGTGCCACTGTCTTTTACTCCTTTTACAATCCAGATATTCAGCACCGTTACAATCGTATTACTGTACATTTCATTCTTAGAGAAGCAGACCCCGACCTACAACGTCTTCAGCAAGGGGAGCTCTGGTGTGTCTGCTGAACGTGTTGCCGATTTTACCCTCAGAGCTCATTCAAGCTTTTCCTCTTGATTTAATAAAGCCACCACATTAACCTCAATATGCACTGAAATCTTCCCCCAAAAGAAATCCCCTCAGGTGTTCTCAAAGACATTTATTTAAACTCACTGTGTCATCGACTTGGAAAAATATCTCAAACCCCATACAGTCTCCTCATCTCTACAGGGTAATGCAGTGACATCTGGATTAAACTTATTGGTGAATGTTAATTTACTCTCTCTAGTTCACTTTTATCAGAAGCTATAAATGGTTATTTTCCAACAAGCCTTGAAAGGCTCAGCTTGGTTTAAAATGTCACTGTAGAGTCGCCTTTTGCTCTGCAGCAAATCAGCAACAGTTGATCAAACTCAAACCATGCTGGTCACTTTTCTAGGAAAAAAAGCAGACTGCAAAACGGCATGCTGCACAACAGTCAAGAATCACCTCCAAACACGGTGACGTGGAGCACCAGCTGACAGAGCAAAGTCAGAACCACACAGCAGCTAGAGATGGACAGAGCAGAAGCAGAACACACACTGCACAGCACAAACACTGAAGAGCACACGTCGCAGTGACAACTTACAGGCACGTACAGCGGATGAGCAATCACTAACAGAGACAGCAGAGGGTGGGTTGCCCCGTCGAGGGGAGGTTGAGCTACAACGCACACTAACTGGCATGCAAGAGCAGCACCGCCCTGAGCGGCAGCAACGAAAGCAACATGCCAGGCCCATTGTCTTGTAGATGGATGTTTTAGCTACAGTCATGGGTTCAGACGAGAGGAGAGGAAGAGCAGGTTAATGTTGAGGGTTGTTCTGCAGTTAAATGGACAAAGGTAGACTTCTGCTGGGAGGATGGAGATGAACTGCTGTTACAGCTGGTAAAGGTCAGAGTTAACAAAATAAAACGTCTAGCTATCCTGGTATTTGTGCTAGGAAGGTCTTGATTATTTGTGAAGAAATTATGGTAGTGTACAATAAGGCTCCCCTTAAATACATCATGCACATGTTATTAATTCATCTGTAACTTTTAATGAAGCACTAAAGTGGTTTCCTCATACTTTCAGTACATTTCCAGTAAGAATGAAGGCCTTGTAAGTTGTACTCGGGGGGGGGGGGCTCTGGTGTGCCTGTTTCGGGAACTAGAAGTGAGCCACATCAGAGGTGAACTGAACATGACAGGCTTTGGAGGTTTTTTGGGACATCTCACTTCTGATTGGCTAACAGCATCGCAACTCTTCCACTGACTCTGATCTGCAACGTTGATGTTTTAGCTCCACAAATAACACAAGTGTGGAGGAGTGCTGCTGTGTAGTGGAGCTGCTAACGCTAACAGTTAGCTTCTAATAGCCAAGATGATCTCTGCTGTTTCCTGGACGCTAAACCAACAAAAGCCATCCATGTCTTGAGTCAAATTGGGTGAGTCCATGAATGGTAAGTGACTGTGTGACGTAGATCTGTCATGTTTTCCAACACAAAACCACAGGGTTTCTTGCAAAACAGTGAGCCGAATATGTTCACCACAACATTTCATCCAGAGTTTCTATAACAAACAGTTGTGGCCAAGTTATTACCTTGTGAGCATCTGTTAACATAAACAGATGTCACTATTTATTTATAGTCAAACATTTGTAACAGTGGGATCAAGTATTTCTATAAAAAGTAGATAACACAAACTGGAATTTTGCCTTTCTGTGCATAGAAAAGCTTTGTGACATTACCTCTACGGTACCGCTTCACCATAAGAATCTCTTTTGGCATTTCTAAATGTTTATAAAGCATAACTAACAGTTTTGAGTTTCATACTTTACTATATTTCCTTTGATAGTTGTGGATATTCATGATGACAAATTACAATATTGTATGCTAGAATGTGTTTAGAAAGGCTCATTGTGCTTTCAAGGTAGTAACTTGGTCTCAAATGATTTTTACTGAAACTCTAGACGGAATATAAAAGTGAACAGGTTTAGATCACGAGTAACCGGTCAGTTTACCCTCTTTTTTACCCTGAATGAATGCATAATAGCATTTATTAATGTCTTATGAAGTGTTTTAGATGATTTAATAACATATCTATAAACTATGTACCTTTATTGTAAACTGGTAAAGAAAGGAACTATCTTGGTATTTCAAAGCTTCACACCTTCCCCTCACCTAAAACATGACCTTTTACAAGCTCTGGCTCACTATATAAGGAGATCTGAAGTTGATTCAGTATTTCCACATGTTTATGTTTATTTTTTTAACAAAAGCAAAATTCTGCAACAAATGTGTCGGATGCTTAAAGAGCAACTGTAGATGAACAAATAAATTACTCCCTATTCCTGATGTGTCATTAAACTAAACTATACCCAAAGATATGTGAAAAGTCTTTTTTTCTGTTATTTTCATGGTTAAAAACTAAAATATTCCTTATTTTTAATCTGTGTGGCTTTCTAGCTGGTGAGTTTTTGTCTGGATGTTGTTTCCCATCAGTCTGTGGGGACGCCTGCTGGTGAATTTCGGATTTACACGACAAACAAACAATCATTTGAGAGATGCAATGTTAAAATAGAAAAGTTATAAATGTTGCCAAAGTTTCTCACTTTTAAAATTTTTCTTTAGAAATTAATTTTTGTTCGTTTTAACTGTTTACATCTGTTATTTAAAATCAATAAACAACAACAGCAATGAGGAATCCAGGTAGCAATGGACATGCAACATTTAGGGTGCATTCAATCACGTTGCTTTGGTCAAGGGTGCAGATAGCAGGCTGTCGTATTTCCAATGAAAACAAATCCTCATTACTCACAATATATCACTATTAAAGTGATATTTTTAAAGAATGCCAAGTTTCCAAGCAGCAAGAAAAGAATGCATAGAATGTGAAGGTTATGTGTTTTGACGTTACACAAAAAATCTGAAGAAAACCCGAGTGAAAAGACAACAAAGGACAATAAAAAAAACTATTTACACATTAATTTAGCAGAAAATACAAAAATATTCATTTGTTATTTGTTGTATTAACAGTCACTCTGTGTTTATATAAATGTATAAAGAGAATTAAAGTATAAGATCATGTGCTGCTTATTAACTTTAGAAGATATCGTCCATGAAGAATGTGCATGAGGAGACAGACTGAGTGTTGAACTAACCTTTAAAATAGGGCTGTTAGTCAGAGAGAACTATGAAGTTACAAAGTTGGAGGAAAAGAAAAATGTGAATGAACTTACATTTCTTGCATCCACATTTCTTTATTCTTTTAGGGTCCGTTATGTCATCATGGCAAGCCTTGCAGTAAAACAATGCCCTGCAAAAAAAAAAACAATAATAAAGAATCTCATTAAAGAGTTTAAGTCTGGATTGGTTCTAAGCACGAGTCACCAACCCTATACAGCGCCCTCAGGCATGTTCTAAAAATATCACAATAATAAATATCAAAAATATTATTTATGCTGCTATTTTTTTTGGTCTCACTTTATGTGATTAAAATCATGTCAGTAAAGATGGCTTACAGAATTGTGGGAACTACAGAAGAACAAAGCTAATGAGTTTTGCAATGAAGCTCCAGGAAAGAGTTGTGGAAGCTAGGCTTAAGTCAGACAGGAGTATCTTTGAGCAGCAGAATGGTTTCAGACCAAGAAAGAGTTCTACAGATGCTACTTTTGTTTCAGGGTGCTGAAGAAGAAGAGGAGAGAACGTCAGAGGGAGCTGCATTGTGTCTTTGTAGATTTAGAGAAAGTATGACAGGGTGCTGAGAGAGGAACTGCGGTACACGAGGTTGTCTGGGGTGGTAGAGAAGTATGATAGTGGTGCAGAACATGTATAAGAGATGTAAGATAGCAGTAAAGTGTGAAACAGTAGTGAGGTGTGCTGTAGACATGAAGAACAAGTTCAAGATGGAGGTGGGAGTGCATCAAGGATCCGCTGTAAGCCCCTTCTTGTTTGCTTTGGTAGTGACGAGGATGGATAGGATCAGGACTGAGTCCATCAGAGGGACAACTCATGTTAGATGTTTAGGAGGTAAAGTCAGACAGTTGGTTTGGACATGCCCAGAGGAAATACAGTGATTACATATGTAGAAGGTAGCTCGATAAAAAGGTTGGCAACCTCGAATTTATTGCAAACACGTTTCTTTCTAGACAGTGAACAACAGAATTGATCCGTTTAAACTGTTAAAAAGTTGTCTTTGTAGTTTTTCTGATGAACTTGCAAACCAGTGCCTTTTGTTTTTATTTGATTTTTTTTTTGTTGTCTTTTACCTCTTCACTTCTTTGGCATCACTTGCAATAAAAAAGCCCAGTGTTCCTTCCTGCATTTTAACATGGTTCCCAGGGTTGATCAGTGTGCTGTGAGAATTTGTAAAGATAAAAAGAAGAAACGGAAATCACAAACTGTGTAAGTTTCACGTCAATTAATGGCAGTGACATGCTGTCAAAGTCACTCAGCTTCTTTAGCAGACTAAACTTACAACTCCCTCAGTCATTAACCCATCAGAAAATACCAAACCAAGTTATTTCATAAAGCAGTCAGACACACTGACGCCAAGCTGCTTCATCACTGAGAACAACAACAGCCGGGACATCTGCATTCATCATGCTTCCTAACAGACAGCTCGTCCACCTTACCTGCTCTCCCTCTGATCAGACTTGTACTCTATAGCTATCAGCAGCAACTTGAGCTTCACATAGCAGAGTCTGCAAAACAAAACATGGTCATCAGTGTAGAAAATGACTCAATATGTGCTGATTAACTCTGACATTAATCGTTTTATTAGGTCTAAATCTACAGGAATTTTAAAGACTGAAAGAAACATTTTTCCTCATTTTAGGGTGCAACAATGGGTAGTTAACATCTTACTTATGAACCATAAAATGTGAGATTCCATAGATTCATAGAAATATGAAATATCAATATGATGGATCTTTGAATATTTTAACCAGAAGATCAGAACTTTTTATTGTAGGGATTACTTGACACTTCGTATTAACTCAGAGGAAAGAAAGAGAGTCGGGTTTATTATAGTTAAGAAATTTATTTCTACACAATTTAAACAAGACTAACTTAAACACTCGGTGGACTGATGGAACTAAGGTGGAGTGAGACGTGAGATGATGGTTTATGTGTGGAATGTTGCTATCAGAACCAGCGGATCCGGAGAAGAATTTAGCTCTGACTGGAAGTGAATGTTTCGCTCTAAACTATAGTTGGAGATTTATAACACACATGAGACGCCATCAGTCGCTCTACGTACCCAGGGGAAGCCTCCGATTAGATCCAGATTGTCGAGGTCCTCTTGGACCCTCCTTGGAACCGAAGCCGGTAGAAAAGCAGCGGTGCCGAACCAAACTAGTCTTGGAATGCTTCCAGGTCACGACAGGTTATCATTGGCGTCAGCGAGACCCTGAAGGGGTCGTGAGGTTCAGCTTTTATTCTGAAGGAACCGCAACAGATTTTATCCAGCTTGTCGAGGTTCTTTTTGGCTGAAGAGGAAGTCCGGATGGCCTGTCCGATACTTCTCTAGAACGCTTGAACTAAAGAAAAGGTGGTGTGGAATCGTTTTCAGAATTGTCATATTTTGGTTTACTGGCGAATCAGAATTTGAGATGCAAAAGAGGGTTTCTACAGACACCACAGAAAACCACGCCTCGCGTCAGAAACGATGGTTCTGATTGGATCAGACAAAAGGAAATGTGTCGTGTGACTTTAGCATTACGTGTCATTAGTGTCTAGTGCAGCTGTCCAGGATTATAATTACTTGTAAAATACTGTTGATCACAGGATTATAATATCAAGTAATAACATTGTCATTTCATAGATTGAAATTAGTTCTTCCTCTTGTGCTGTAAAAGGTGGAGCAGTTCAGATGAGCAGAGTGCATGAAAGACCTTGGCCACTATCTCATGTAGATTAGCCTGTCAGAGATTTTATGTCTCTGCTTGAGCAGACGCAGCGGATCATGACCTTTAGGTCAAAACCAGGACATTCATGACGCTACAAGGGTAAAGGTGTGGAACACTAGCCTGGCAAGCCAGATTAAATAAATATATTATTTAGTCCGGCAATGCTCCATTAATGGTTCTTGGCCATGGGGCGGATATACCATTGTCTTTCAAACAATCTCTGCATGCTACTGGACAATAAACAACGTGACGCACTCACTGCAACAGATGTCGGTAAAGGAAGTAGTCTGCTGTTGAAGGCGGCGAAAATACATCCTTTTTTCTAAATAAAGAACTTCACATCTATCTGCGCTTGATTCTAATAAAGCCCAAGTCCTAATAGTCCAAAAGTGATGTAAAAGCCTTTTCAAACAAGCTGTTGCTACGTTGTTCCACTCTGTTGCATCATCCTTCCCTTCAGACAAACAGAGGGCCCTGATTAGCCCACAAAGCAGATAGAGCACTGTGCTTGGCCCACCATTGTGGACCAAGCTCTGTATGGGTTTAAAACCCCTATAGAGAGATGTGATTGGCCAGCCAGAATGCTGCTAGGGCCTGCGGAGGTTTCAATGGAGCATTCCTAGACCAAACTTTGCAAGGGAAGAATTTGGTCTAGTTCACTGGGCTAGGGGAACACCTGTTTAATCAATACATTTGAGTCATACTTGGGGGAAAAAAACACCAGTGCACCATTTCTAGAAACTAGAAGTGAGTCACGTCACAGCTGAACTTCAGACTTGAACTCTTATTTCCTGATATTAGGACATCTCTACAACTCTACTGACTCGGTTTGCTCTACAACGTGGGTGTTTTATCTCCACAAATAACACAAGCCTGAAGAAGCTTCTGCCGTGTGGTGAGGTTGCTAATGCTAATGGTTAACTTCTACCAGTTGAGACGTCCGCTGCCGTTTCCCGGACACTAAACCAACAGCCTTCTGTGCCGAGAGTCAAGATGACTGAGTCCATGAATGTTAGGTGACAGTGTAACATAGATCTGTCAGGCTTTACTAATCCTAGAGTTTTACAGTCTATTTTCTATCAGAAGCTAATTCAGGTGATAGATGTAGGAGAATATTTTTGTGTTCAGTCTGCATGAAAAACTCAGACAGTTTATAAATATTTTAAAAAATGCTTTTTCAGTGTTCCACACCTTTAAGGAGACAACAAAGAGGTGTAAGGGCAGGCTGCCTTCACCTCCTCAATACCAACTACAGTTTTATTTATCATGTGATTTGAAACAACACCTGAAACAATACATCAAATAAGGTCAAAGAAACCCTAAGAAAATATTCATAAACTTCAGTTATGAAAGGATCATTAGCATAAAAACTAAAATAATGATGAAAAGATCAAAGAAAATGTCTGCAAAAACAATTAGAGAAGAAGGAAAAAGTGTCTGTGCTTACTCGCAAATAACCGGGAAGGATAACCCCACAAAGGCACTTGAAAGGTACTCCGTGTACATTTCATTGGCTACTCCTTCAAGGTAATACTTCTGCCATGTGTCCTCTTCAATCTGCAGCAGAGAATAACTTTTATGAATAAAAACCAACAAAAAAAATTGAGATGCCGGTTCATCCCTACCAACGCATCAGATGCTGCATTCATCTGGGATAATCTAGACAGATTACAGCCAAATTTCATTTCATAATTTAATCTCCTGAGCTCAGACGGCTTCATCTTAGCTGAAGCTACCTTGATGAAAGACCTCATGGAGAAAAGATTGGCCAGCATGGTGGAGAGCCCCTGAGCCAGGCAGCTCTGGGCGATGAACCCAAGCTTCAGCTCTGCAAGGCAAATGGCGTCATCTCCCTCCTTCCAGGTCCAGCTGGGGATGTTCAACAGGTGGGCCTACGGAGGAGGAAAGGAAGGAAAAATGTAAACACATTTCTACATGCACTCTCATAATATCTCTTAAGACTGGCTCTAAAAAGGGTTTTCTCACACACGATGGTCTAGTGAGTGACTACCAACCTTATTGTGGTACTGCAACATCTGGGTGATTATTCTGATCTTTGGATGATAGTTCTTGATAGATATTACCCTGAAAGAGAAGATAAGAACATCTGAAACTTAATGATAATTTGAGTAAATAATGACAAACAGAGGCAGTTTTCTATTTTATATTGAGGGTGTGAATCAGCTGTAAATCAGCCGTTTGCCATTTAAACTCTGTCCTGTTAATAATTTACTGGACTAATCTGTATGCATTTTGTCATTATTTTCAATGTTAGTTACAATATTGGCATGTTGAAGTGATACAATACACATTTTTATTCTCCTCATTCATTTTATTTTCAATCAATCAAAATAGATTTTTTAAAAACCAAGCTGATTCATGTGCCAGGCTAACTTCCTATTACAGGTTAAACTTGGAAAATGAGAATATGGTGCAAAAGTTAATTTATGTCAGTAAATCAGCTTAAAAGGTGAAACTAATACATGAGATAGACTCATTACTGGCTAAATTAGATATCTGGAACTTTTATTTGTCAGAATTTTGATGATTATTCGTTTAATTTAATTTATTCGTTAATATAGCACTTTACCAGTCAGGGGGGTCCAAAGTGCTGAACACAAGAAATAATGAAAATAGGGTACATTAAATAAAGCAATAGGATATAATATACATGTAACTGTATAATATAGCTGTAGATAGCTGTAGTTGAAGAGTAACTAAACAGTAGATCCTGGTGTCCGACAACACAGAATAAAATCACACTAAGACATATCTGAAATGCTGCATCAGCCCAGCTGTGAAACTCCAAAATGCTATAAGTCCACTGAATCTGATTAATTTGGAACTAAATAGACAACACAATTTATTTGTAATAGATACAAATTTAATGCTCTGACATTTTATTGAAGTCAAACTCTTCTGTTGATTTTCAATCTTTTTCAGCTAACATTAATAATTCTTCCTTGTCTCAACTGCCTAAAAAAGAGTGCTCAGACAGGTTAACATCAACTCTGAAAGCATATTAAGTCCACGTTCTAAACTTCTGAAAAACAAACAAAATCTTAAACCCAATACACAAGGCAGGTGCAGCCTTAGGAGCTCAGACAACTGGGAGAGACTGGGAGCTGCTCCTCCCTGATGAGAGGAGTCGGCTGTGGTGGCTGATCAGAATGTCTCCTAAGTGGATAAGTGGGCGAAATTGGACGGAAGGACAAAAACCAGGGTGCAAACAGCTTTGCAAAAATCTATTTCAAACACTTTCAGGGGTGAGGGTGGCAGAGGAGTTAAGTGCCCACCAAATAACTGTATGGTTGCAAGTTTGAGCCCAAACTGTTGCAACTGTCCTTGGGCAGGACACTTAACCCACATCGCCTGCTGGTGGTGGTCGGAGCGACCAGTGGCCCTAGTGTATGGCAGCTTCACCTCTGTCAGTGTGCCCTAGAGCAGCTGTGGCTACATTGCAACTCCTCACCAGCAGCGTGTGAATGTGTGTGTGCTTGGGTGGATGACTGTGTTGTAAAATGCCTTGGGGGGTCATAGTTCCCTAAAAGGTACTATATCAAATACAGGCCATTCTCTCTTTTACATATATGCTCAAAATATTTACTTTGTTTTATTGTCTTATATGTTAGTTTAGCCATGCTGGAAGCCATTTCACTGATGGTTTTGAGCATTTGCATGAACTCTTTTCAGAATGCATGGACTTTAAAGATGTGGTTCACTTGTTTAATCAATACATTTCCATAGGTCTCTAGTAGGAATGAATGCCTTACTGTATTCTGGGGGGTGGGGGGTGGGGGGGGTGAGGGACCGGCGCGTCCGCTTCAGGAAGTAGAAGTGAGCCACACCACAGCTGAGCTTCAGACGACAAGTTTAGGAGTTTTAGTTCTTGATATTTGGACATCTTGCCTCGGAATGGTTAACAGCAACATGAATTTATCACTGACTCTGTTTTCTCTGCAATGTTGATGTTTAATCTCCACAAATGAAGTCCCATTAGTTGTCACAACCTGGTGAAATCTTTTCTCTGTATTCTACCCATCCACTGGGGGAGGGGTGAGCTGCAGACATGACCGCGTTTTGAAACTATTTGGTGTTTTAACCTCTAATTGGACACATTAATGCTGAGTGTCGAGCAGAGAGGCTTTTTTTATCGAAAGAAGAATTCAATACAATACAAAAGAAAAATACAATTGGCTCCTCTAACGTGCATTTTTTCTCTTTTTTTACAACAAAAAATTACCCCAAAAACTGAAATAAAAGGGTGAGGGTGAATATATTAAGTAACTGGCACAGCGTTCAGTGAAAGGGAAGGCCTTTTTAAAGTCTTTGGTATGACCCAACTAGGGATAATCCGACACCGATACTGGTATCCGTGTCAACAGTGGCGGCTGGCCAGTAGAGGGTGATAGGGCGCCGCCCTCCCAGTTTCCCCACTGTTTTTAATTTTTATTTAAAAAAATAAATAAATAAAATTAACAATATTCACATATTCTAAGTTAATTGTGTGTTTTGTAACAAAAATAAATCATATATATATATATATATATATATATATATATATATCTACATTGGTCTCTGCCGGTCTCTGCCGAGCGGTGGAGGCTGTGTGCTGTTTTTCAATCGCCCAAACAGGACGAGACCAGCTGTCCAATTGCTGACAAGAAAATCAAAGGGTAGGAATGGGAATGTATCCAATCAGCGTCGACGTTGTTTCAGAACGTTTCAGAAGCATGATGGGTGATAGAGCTACCGCCAAGGCTTTCGTTGGTGTTCGGTAGAACTCGGAGAGTCTCGACTCCAGCACGTTTTTGGTCGTGACTCGTGACGGTCATGACGCAGACGTAGACATGGACGCCAGTGCGCCTACAACCAGGATACCGGATCTCAGCAGCCACTGAATTCAGTTCGGTCTCTTCTCCAGCATCCGTTCGAGAGGAGAACTATGGTGGAAAAACTTAATGTCAAACAGCTTGGACCAGATCAGCCCGACGTAAAGATAAGCCAGCAGGAGAAGGAGAGAGGTAAATTGTACACACGACGCTTCTCCCAAAATTGGTACACCAGGAAGCAGTGGCTAGCTGGATGCAATCACGCTAATGCGTTATTTTGCTTTCTGTGTTTGTTATTCAAAACGGCTGGGATCCACAGAAGGTGGATGTGGAACTTGTGTCTCATTGGGGACTCCATTCATTCTCTGACTGAGGAATGCAGCGCATCAGTGCAGCAGCCAACAAAGAAACGGAGGACGTTTGGACAGGGAGAACAGAAGCTGGGTGCAGAGGTAAGCTGTACATTACATTTCTGTAAACAAGACAATCAGAATCAGAAATCCTTGGTTGTCCCACAAACCGGGACATTTGTTTAATAACATGTACATTGTTTAATGTGCAATAACTGTAAAAACTAATTTCAACACACATACCTATTATACATATTTAATCATGTAAATGTGTATTTCAAGTAAATTTGTACATACATCAATCTGATTCCATTTTACTTGTTACACTTCTGCTGCAGCAAACAAATTTCCCAGCTTTTGGGACAATAAAACATTTCTGATTTGTCCCAAAAAGTGGGAAAAATGACATTTGTAAGAGGATACTGATGACATTATTTCCTATGAAAGTGTTTCCACTTTCCATAAGTCCTAACAGTGTAAATTTCTGGCATTTTGTCTAAGTAGTGTTTACTACCATTACTGTAACAGTGACCTGCTCATAATTTTTCGTGTTCACTCAAATGTTGAAATTAAACAAAATGTTTTTGTTACTTGCCTCTTGCATTGCCTATTTACCAATTATGGTCATGTTATTTTATGTGCAATTTAATGCAGTATTTTTCAACCTTGGTCCGCAAGGCAGTTTGCCAATAGTCAGACACACCTGGATTAATCAGTTTGTCCAATGATGTAAGACAGGAAATAAAAGAGCTGTGCTTAATTCAGGAAATAGTGAAGTTGTGCACAAAGCTCAGAAAGCACAAGTTTGTTTAATAGGGCTGGGGGTAAACGATTATTTTATTGAATAGTCGACTATTCTAATGACTATTTAGACAATTAATCTAATGATTATTTTTTCTATTGCACAGTTAATAAAAACCAAAAAAATCTCTAATAAATTCCTCCAAAAAATGATAAATTGTTACTGTAAGAGAATAAACACTACAGGCCTTCTATTTTGTAAAACACTGCTTTTATTGTGTTGGTTGGTTATGTTCTGGTGACATGTAGAACTTGGGAGTGCAGGCTGCTGCCTGAGAGGTGGTTGGAGAGACGGAGTGTCTCCATACTGCTTTGTTTTGGTCACTTATGTGCGTGAGGCGAGTGGTGTTACGACTCTTCCTGGGGAGTTTGGCTCGTGTGCAAAAAGGAAGGGACAATAACATGGGATTTAAAAGTTAAAATGATGATCAGGTTTATTTACAACTACAAAAAAACATAAACCTTTCCATCCACAGGTTGGGAATAATAAAACTAATTCTGCCTGTGGGGAATTAAAACAAAAGTACAAATAACTAGGGATGTCCCATTGGGCAAAGATTACAGGGTTCTGGACCAAAATAAGAATCTCCAAAGGTCCAAACTCTAAACTGGGAGGTTAAACCAAACTCAATGTGATATCTTAAACGAAACCAAAAACCCACAACACTCTTAATGTAATAAAAGGGAGATCTACGCCACAAAAAAAGATGAACTCTAAACCAAAACGTAGCAGCTTATCCAAACGCAAGAAGCTGTTAGCGAAGATGCTAACAGTAGCTTTACCAACATTAAGTTCAAGTTACCAAGTTTAAATAAACCAAAAACACCCAGCAGCAAACAGACCAGCACGGAGGAGAGACTGCTGCCACAAAAACAGCTCTCCTAATGTCTCAAAAAAGCTCCCTTATGAAGGGAGAAACGCTCCCGGTGATTTTCTACATCTGCGGTAGAGACGAAGCAGCACATCTGACCCCGGAAGTTGTTGTCCGTTGCCGGGAGACGAAGGCGGGCAAACAGGAAAGGAATCTAGTAGCGGACGGACATTGTTCCGGGTCTTCGGTATTTGGCGGAGATGTTAGTGAAGGCGGAGAAGAGGGTGAACTAGAGGAAAAACATGCAGATTCCTCTTCTATTTACAAACTCCTGAGGATGCAACAAGTGGGCGTGGTGCGTCGACTACCGGATCTGACGTCGACAATTTTTTAGAATCGAGCCGTCGACGTCATCGAGGCGTCGCTACAGCCCTATTGTTTAAACAAAAAAATAGCACAGCCCCACCAAAAATATTTTTCACCAGCCGCCACTGCGTGTCGATAAAAGTTTACCTCAATGCAGTTGCTTGAAAGTGGCTTCACTGTAACTTGTCATTTCTGTTCACCTAATATTTTAGTTTTGCGATCATTTCTATTCATATATTTTTTATCTACTCACAGTCTTTTCCTGTTGAAAGCAGAGAAGAAAATAAAACCTGTATTCCAATTCATAGCATTTTTTTTGTGTGGTAAAAGTATCGGTAATCAGTATCGGCGAGCAGGGGCGTCGGACTGGGGTGGGAAAGGGTACCGTTTACCCAGGGCCCACTGCAGGGAGGGGCCCTGAGACGGCTTTGAATAAAAATGTTTTATTGTTGTTGTTTTTTTTCCCCCAACTTACTTAATGTCTTAATAAACTTCCCTTTACCTGGATAAAGAGGTTAAGAAACAGAATTTCGCCTTAAAAATAATAACTGAATAATCTCTGAGGCATCTATCACCCCTTAAAAATGTGCAAAGTGGTTTAGTCCACACCAGCGGCCAGGGGCTGCACTGCCGCATGTACAGCTAATGAGACATCGCAGATGCCGACAGCCAGAGCTGGAGGCAGGAGAGTCAGTCATGTCTTTTCCCAAGAAAGGGAAATCTGGCTTCCAGAAAAGAAAAGAAGGAGAAAAAGTTAATTGAACAGAAGCAAGTATTGACTAGGTTTTTCAAGAAGGAAGGTGAGCAGCAGCAGAACACAGTTTTAGCTGATATTAGCTAGCTCTCAGAAGCTGCATTCATGTTAGGTGTTCAGTGTTAAACGCCTTTAGTTTCACCATCAAGATCAAATATAAATTAATTAGTGTTATCAGTGAAAACGCTAATATATATATATATTCATCAGAATTATTATCGCGGGCGGCCGGCGCCAATTAATTTGCGGACCTCGCAGTAAAAACAGGTTCACTCTGTGGATATTTCAGCTCCTTCCCAGTCATGGACCAGGACAAACTTGGTATCGATGGATTCGTGGTAATCTCAGGAATGAGAAGCTGCCACTGTTTTTCGTATAGCATGATGACACTGGTGTTAGAGGATTGTTATTGACTTGGTTAGATATTTTAAGCCTATTTTAAATTTCTTTATATTTGATCTTGAAAATGGACAATCTTATAATTTGGCTGATAATGCAGGGATTATAAAATTTAGAGTATATTACATTCACAGAGAGAACCTGGTTTATTTCATGTCATATGTATTTAATATATCAATAAATATCAGCAAAGCTTAACATCACCATGACAGACATGACTGAAGAGCAGATAAAGATATCATGCCAGGCACTGATGAGAAAATATTACAAGGATCTCACAGCTGAATTTGAGAATGAGATGCTACACCTGAGAACAATATATGGTGCCACATTTCCACACATTCGGTCTCCCCTTGAGCTGCTTAATGCCATCTACAGGATGCAATTACAGAGCATTTTTGGAGAAGTTTGTATTGGACTGAGGATTTTTTGCACACTACCTGTGACTGTTGCTGGGGGTGAACGGGCTTTTAGCAAACTGAAACTGGTGAAAAATTATTTGAGATCAACAATGTCCCAGGATAGACTGAACAGCCTAGCTCTTCTTTCTATTGAAAGCCATTTAGCCAAAGGATTGGACTTTAAATATCTCATAAGTGATTTTGCTAACATGAAGACCCGTCAGTGGGCATTTACTGGAAAATAAATCCCAGGATTTTTGTTTGAACACATTGTTGGCTAATAAAAATAATTATATGTGAAGTCTGGGAATTTCACTTTTATTATGCTGGCATTTGTGTTTGCTCAATATAGAGGTTAAACTAAGATCATATTTATTATCTTGTCTTATAGCATGACAAAAAATGTGTAAGAGAGATATTACGTAATTGAGCATGGGGGCCCACCTAGAAGACTTGTACCTAGGGCCAAGAATTTGGTGCTACGCCCCTGTCGGCGAGTACTCAGATCCAAGTATCGGCATCGAATCTGTTTGGAAAAAAGTGGTATCGTAGACCCAAACATGGATTTAAACCCACTATCTCCCAGTGTCAGGGCGGTCAGCTGGCCTGAAGGAGTTCTGCCGTGTGGTGAAGTTGCTAATGCTAAAGGCTAATTTCTACTAGCCTAGACGTTCTCTGCTGTTTCCTGCACACTAATTTAACAACAGCTTTCCCCCTTGTGAGTGAAGATGGGTGAGCCCATGAATGTTAAGTGACAGTGTAACGTCGATTTGTCAAATCATTTTAGTGAACCCCCTCTTTAAAGGTGTGGTTTACCGAAAAAAAAAAATTTTTTTATTATTATTTCTGATTATAATTGGTCACGTTGAATTTTTCATGCAGGCTGAACATGAAAATAGTCTCCTACACTTATCTCCTGCATTAGGTTCTGATTGACATGAAATGCTAGGATTTGAAAATCCTCACATATCTGTGCATTCATTGTCCCACCCATCTCTGTTCTCACCCACCCACAGGAAGACTTTTAATTTTTTTGCAGTGAGGAGATGGAGCGGAGTGTCTTGTTGATAGTGGCTTTGCGACATGGGTGAACATGTTAGCCAATCAGAAGCAAGGTGTGTGCATATCATTAATAATAATGAGTAGTCCTGCTGTTTTCAGCCCAACTCTGCAGCAGCAAACTTCTGTATCTCAGGAGCATCATAGCTTTTAGATGTTTTAAATGACTCAGAAGGCATTGATTTACACTAGAGAGCACTACAAATGTATTGAAAATGAGTAAACAAGCCGTGTAAAGAATACCCTAATTCAACTGAAACATTTTCAACATGTTTACACATCTGTAAGAACCCTGAACAACTCCAGTTTCCTCATTAAAACCCGAGCAGACCACCCCTAAATCTTACACTAAACTGAGAGAAATTTGTTGCAAAACAAACATCAAAAGCCAAACTCAGAGAAAAGCTTGAATCAGTTTTGGTTTACAAACCTCATGATGTTGGACGCATCTTCAGCATCAGGGTCAGCACAGTACTTGTTTGCTAAAATCAGGCAGGCATCAGCTGATTCAATCTGGACGTTAAATTCACAAATTAAAAACAAATTATAGAATAGAATAGAATAGAATAGAATAGAATAGAATAGAATAGAACAACTTTATTGTCTGACACCAAGCGGTTACAGAAATGTGTCTTTCAACAGGGCTCATCATCATCCACACTTTCATAGAACAGTAAATACAATAAATAAATCATAAAAACCTAAAAACACAGATATAAGCTTAAAAGCCATCAAACCAAAGATGCAACTATATGCCTAAAACACATAAAATCATCTGTGGGTTATTGAAGTTCTGTGTCTGTTGAGGGCTGTGATTGCTGATGGGATGAATGATTTCTCATGGATTATAATTTTATAAATAAATTATCCAATAGGCCTTTTTAGACTCCACACACTACAAATTAAAATTCTCTCAGAGACCGAGTGGAAGTTGTTGTTTCGGTTACCTTGACTCGAGCCAGGTCGTGTGGGTTCAGGACGGATCCTTGGTAAAACTCTACTTGGGTGAAGTGGCGCTTGAACAAGGCTTCCAGCTCAAGATTAGGGGAAATACTGAAATCAAAATTCAAGGAGATATTTTCTCTTAAAAGCTGCTGCTTAATTCTCATGTACATGGGTAAAGAAGTGAATGTTGCACTTACTTATGGAGAAAAACGATTTCTACATTGACATCATCCCTGTCCTTGTGTAGGAAGTCTTTTAGGAAGTTGGACACACTCTCGAGTGTTATGTGACCACAAACCACAATGTGCCTGGTGGGGAGAGAAGGTGTGCAGAACAATAAGGATAAAAACAAAAACACAACTAATTTGCTGTTTTCTGGAATCAAAAGGTTAATAAGTCACATGAGGGATCTGATGGATATTCATTGATTGGAAATCAACATTTATATTAGAGGAGTGAGGCTGGAGGTTTCTGTCACGGTGAGGACGGGTTGGACGAGAAGGCCAGAGAGCACTGTGGATTTCAGATTATATGAGTTTAAGAGATTATAAAATCAGTACAGACTGTTTTAATTCCTGCATTACACCGTCCATTCACCTAAAGAAATGACTTGGATTAGTTTGATTTTATAACATTCTTAATGACTCAACTCAGACTGTCATTTTAAAAGATTTCAAAAGCACTTCTTCGTACTGAGAACTCTGATGGTTAAATTGAATCCACGTTTTGGGATCTATTAATAACAGGAAAACAAAAGTAGATGAGGACAAGCTGATACTGTCAACAATCTGCACATACATTAACAGTAAATAATCTTTGTATTGAAATGTTTAGAAATAAAATGCTAAAATTATACATATCTACAACTACATTGGGGCAAAAACATATTAAGGCAGCTTCCAATTGTGCAAGTTCTCCCACTTAAAAAGATGAGAAGCCTGTAATTTTCATCAAGAGACAAAATGAGAAAAAATAATCAGAAAATCATAGTCAGATTTTTAAGGATGTTTTTGCTAATTATGGTGGAAAATAAGTATTTAGTCAATAATGAAAGTCCATCTATATACCTTTGTTGGCAATGATAAAGGTCAAATGCTTTCTGTAAGTCTTCGCTGGTTTTCACACACTGTTGCAGGTATTTTGGCCCATTCCTCCTCTAGAGCAGTGATGTTTTGTGGCTGTCTCTGGGCAACACGGACTTTCAACTCCCTTCAAGGATTTTCTATGGGGTTAAGATTTGGAGACTGACTAGGCCGCTCCAGGACCATTAAATGCTTCTTATGAAGCCGCTTTTTCTTTACCTGGACGATGTGTTTGGGATCATTGTCATGCTGAAAGATCCAGCCACGTTTCATCTTCAAAACCCGTGCTGATGGAAGGAGGTTTTCACTCAAAATCTGACAATACATTGCCCCATTCATGCTTTCTTTTGCAGAAAAACAGTCCCAAAGCATGATGTTTCCAACCCCACGCTTTACAGTAGGTATGGTGTTCTTTGGATACAACTCAGCAGTCTTTCATCCGACCGTTTGACATTCTCCCAATCTTCTTCTGGATCATCCAAATGCTCACTAGCAAACTTCAGACAGGCCTGCACATGTACTGGCTTAAGCAGGGGGGCGCATCTGGCACTGCAGGATTTGAGTCCTTGCATAGGGTGTTACTGATAGTAGACTTTGTAACTTTGGTCCCAGCTCTCTGCAGGTCATTCAAAAGGTCCCTTGTGTCCAACAGTTAAGTGACGTTGTTGAATATTGGCAGGAACTGGAAAATGCTGATCCAGAGCATCCCAAACATGCTGGGTGACATGCCCGGTGAGGATGTTGACCATGCAAAAACTGGGATGTTTTCAGCTTTCGAGAGTGAAAAACAGGATTCATCCGTGAACAGAACGCCAGAAGCCATTAAATGTGAGCATTTGCTCACTCACTTTGGTTAGGAAGACAAACTGCAGTCAGGTCCAAATCCCGATGAGGATGACGAGCATGCAGATGAGCTTCTCTGAGACGGTTTCTGACAGTGTGTGCAGAAATTATTTGGTTGTGCTGCAGCTGTGTGAGTGGTTGGTCTCAGATGATCATGGAGGTGAACATGCTGTATATGGAGGTCCACATGGTTACACGTGGTCTGTGCTCGTGACGCTAGTGGGATGTCCTGCCAAATTCTCTGAAACGCCTTTAGAGACAGCTAATGGTAGATAAATGAGCATTCGGGTCACAGAGGACTTCAGCTGTTGTTAAATGACTTTCCATTATAGGTTGAATTCTGATGTCTGTTGTTGAGCTAAAAGCTGTTAGCTGACTGTGCAAAAATGGTCAGGACATTTTTCTAACTAAGCTGAGTAATCACCGTGAGAGCAGTGGGAATTATTTTTACAAAACATTCCAACTAAAGGGTTTCTATTTTTAACCAATAAAAAGCAGGCATGCTCACTTCAGTGTAAATATAATTAGTAAATCACAGAGCAGAAATGTAACTATTTCTTACACCACTGTCCTTCAGACGCTGTAGTTTTGCATGCTGCTCATGTCTCGGCTTCTCTGGAGGAGGTTTTAAGCTCTGCAGTTGGAAATGTGCCAATTTTACATTTATTTATTGCTGTCTTCTCATATTATAAAATCTAACCGTTACAGTAACACTAACCACCAAACAGTTCATTCTTTAAAATAGTTTCCACCCTTTTCATGTATTTCTGTGCAATAACATAGGCTTCCTTTTTAAAGCTGAACAAATGTTGACAGGTTTCGTTAATTTAAAACAACGATTTCGTAAAAATAGCCAGAAATAACAGGTAAGCATGATGTGAGGTAAAAAAACACATGTATCATGTAAAAACGGCTAACAGGAACCAGAAGAGATTTGCTCTACTATTGCTTGTCATTTAGGGACTATCCAGAGGCGAAAACGTCCTTTATCAAATTATTTGAGTAAAATCAGAGTTGCAGCTTGTTGCTTCTAGAACTTGCCAACATAAATTCTCCTTAAAGGGTAAAGCTTCATGTTTCTCACAAACATGACTGGTATCAGTTCTCTCATCCAACTTTCAGCAAGGAAGCTAAATAAAGTTTTGGGCTTGTTCCCCCCCTCCCCAAAATGTTCCTTTTTTGTCCAGAGGGTGTGGGTTAGACTGAAGAATAAGGCCAAGAATGTTCAAAAGCAAAGCGTGTAGTGAAAACAAGCAGGGCAGCGCACGTTTGTCAAGCTGAGAAAAGCAGCACGTTTAACTAAGGAGCGTGAAGCGAGCGATGGAACACATGACTAAATGTAGGAGTTGGATTTTTCTCTGCAGAGCTGTAAATGCAGAAAAGCTTGCACATTTGTAAAAAAAAACTCTTTTTAAACAAAATAATGTACATATTTATCAATGTGTTCATTATATACTAAATTTAAATTTAATAAATATTAATGTAATTAAAAACAACTACTGGTGTTTAATAAAATTAAGTTTGTATTGGAAGTTTTGTCATCTTTTGGGGCAAACAAAAGCAATGAATGAGTGATTTATAAAGCCAACATTGTGCATTAAACACAAACACGAACATCACAAAACATGTAGGATTATCTTAATAGGGTTTTAATAAACTGCGATGTATCCACAAGAAAATGGGTTTTGCTTAAACATAACATTTGTTTTATTTTTATAGGCTTATTTTGTTTCATTTGAAGTATTTGAACCTAAACACATGGTCCTTTTCTGCCTCTTTTTTCCAAGGCTAAGAAAACTGAATATAACCATAAGATCGGCGTTAAAGGGAGTCTAGGCAGTTTTGGCTTGCTTTTAGCACCCCCTAGTGTCCATTTAGTAGAAACAAAAGCTAGATGTATCTTCTCGCTGTGCATTCTTCTTTTTAACACCTTAATCTAACAGCTGAAATGTCTCCTCAGCCTTCCTTAGTGTCTACAGCAGTGATTTATAACTAAACAAATCAGCTGTGTTCCTGATCTAAAACATGCAGGAAACCAACTGTAGTGCCAGGAATGTCAGCGCCATTTTTTTCTAAGTCAAACTGATTGGACCGGCACTCTGAAGTTGCAAATGCGGTATTCTGGTCACAGAGGGTGGTGGGGGTGTAAGTGGCCTTTCATTAACCCTGTAAAGGGTAATTTTAGCACACACTACAAAATATGAAAAAGTAGCCTAGTGTCCTTTTAAAAAGAGACAAAATAAAATCAAATTCAACTTGAAACATAAACTTTATCTCTTATTAAAATCTAAGGCACTAACCCATGTGTTATTTCTATCACATTTATCTTCATACTGAATGTATCTAGTTTTCCAGATATGATTTTTTAAGATGCAAATGAACAATTGAAAAAAGGGTAACACTTTACAATTAGGGTCCCTTTATCAACATTACTCGGTGCATTTTAAGCATTAATAAGCTATTAAAGTTTTAACAACTGCTTATCCATATTATGTAATGCATTACTAAGCACTCACCCCTGTCCCTGGCCCATTGTCCTAACCTAAAGGACACTTAATATTTAACTATTATGTTAACGTTAATAAAGAGACCCTTAATGTAGTGTTACAGAAAAAGAAAAGACAAGAGCAGAAATTATGAGTGAAAATGTGTTGGTTGATAACCGTCTTTTATCTTTATGTTTACACCTATTCAGTGGAGGATATTATTGATGGATGTGTGTTATGGTAGCCAATACATTTTTATAATGTTATCTTATTTTTTTCTCAAATGTTGCCTTGCAGCAAGGAGGTCCTTCTGCATGGAGTTTGCATATTCCCTCTGTGCATCCGTACACTCCAGGTACTCCAGCTTCTTCCCAAAGTTCAAAAATGACATGACTGTCAGGTTAATTGGGCTCTCAAAATTGTCCTTAGGTCTGAGTGTGTGTGTGATTGTTTGTACTGTGTGTTTCTGTGTTGTCCTGCGACTAGCAACCTGTCCAGGGTGTACCCCGCCTGTTTGCCCGGAGACTGCTGGAGATGGGCACCAGCCCCCTTGCGACCCTACGTTGATAATCAGGTAAAGAAAATGGATGGATGGTGATTTTATTACTTATGCACAATATTTATATGGTTATAGTACATATCCTGCTATCACTAAGTTTGCAGCATGGCATAACATCCAGATTTTCCACCCGCCATCCAAAATTAAAAAGAATAGCAGAGACAGTTTGACCCTACAGACGATGTTGAGTTAAAACAGTCCTAAATAATTACAGCAGGTGGATGATCACAGTTTATAACACAGTGAGAAAATCCGACATGCACCACACTTAAGCATGAAAACAACATTTACAATATGTGTGATTACACTGAAAAGAGAACACGACTTATCAAGGATTTTAGTTTATATTTGAGTTCCACAACTTTATGTTCTGAACACAAGAGATAACACTACAGCTGCCTTTTAAATTAAAAACTGTTTTAAAATGTCAATTTCCCTTAATGAAATTTTCTGCCATCCAATTTTGCAAATATAAAAAAAATGAAAAGGGAAAATAGAACTTGTCAGACTGAGTCATAAAGAAAACCCCCTTGGTAGGCTGGCTGTTTCTTTTGCAGTGTAAAAGCAGACATGGTTTTGTGTGAAGCAGCAGTACAAATACAAAAAAAGCTGCAGCCCAACAATTAACACGTTCATCATGGCCAAGTTCTTCAGTCACAATGTGACTTCAGTGCTAATTGAGATCCTTACATCTCAAATCAAAGCATTGTGATTTTTATTTAATGATAAATCTAAGCATCAGCCTCTTTATGAGAGAGCCACTCAAGTCACACACAAACCACACCATTACAACTTTGTTGTTTTGTTTGTTTTTCTTTTTTTGACTTACTTTCTGCCTCTGGTCGAGTTATAACTCCCTCCATATTTCTTCCGATTAAGGATGAGAGCAGCAATTTCTGGCACGTAGCGAGCAAACATGGCCTACATGCATGAAAAAGAAAAAGAAAAGGGCATGCAGAGAAGGCTCTACTGCGGCGGAGGCAGTAGAGCCTCCACAAATACTTACTTTCTCCCATTAACCGCACTATAGGAACCACCATATTTCTTGCGGTTTCCTATTAACTCTATGATTTCAGGGACGTAGCTTGCAAACATGGCCTAAGGAAAAGATAAAAAGACAGAAGAGGAAACTAAAAAAAAAAAGACAAGCAAAGAAGAGGAGCTCCTGTGGGTTTTGATTGTTTGGTCGAAAAAGGAATCTACCAGGTCAGAAGAGAAACTGTAGCATAGGTGATTAGTGATGTTTACTAGCAGACTGAAATAGATAAGACACTTCACCCTGTAATTTTACCTGAAGGAAGTTATGTGAATGCAACCTGGAGTTATGTCATGGTCACATTCTGATTTATTAAAAAGTATGAGACTGAAAAAGGCCAATATTTACAGATGTTGGAAGATTAAAGGAGAAAAATGACAGCTGATGAGCGCAAGCCAATCTGTGGTAGAAAAATATGAACAGTGACGTTTAAAAAGCCTTAGAAGCCATGTTTTGTCCAACAAACACGCATGTCGGGTTGATTTGAACAGCACAGCTAAACAGATGGCAAACATTAGGATTCTACACTGCATTACGTCATGAAAACAAACTTTTTTAATATTTTATTTGCTCTGCCTGAACCTTTCTGTATTTTATGTTTTTTATCATATAAATATGAGAATTCTAATTCTGTGTAGTTTCATTCTGCTGATTGATTGTGCATCCTTAGAAAGTAGGTCACAAAATACCCTAAATATTTCTAATCAAAGACTTTCTTTTTCCATAAAGTGATATAGTTAGCAAAGAGAAATACAATCCCTGCAAACAGTCAACGTCACATGGATGTGCAGATCATGTCTATATTGAGTCCGTTGGTCCAGACCACTTCTGTAGGAGGTCCAAACTAAGTCTTTGCACAGTGGGATGCAGCTTTACAAAGATTTTTGAACTTTTACTCTGTTGATCCAGAAAAATCCACAATGATTTCCTTCATGATCTGATGCTAATTCCTGCGGAAGACATCTCTGTCTCTGAGGAAGGCTGGCATTCCCGTATGACCTCTCTGAGCAAGTATAAAAACATTCTATTCAATTCAGTTCATTCATTTAGCGCCAAGCGTCGTCTCAAAGTAGACATTACAATTAAACCTACGTATCAGTGCAATGAGTCCAATTCAACATGCCGATTAGTTCAAAGTTTCCTATTGAAGGAAATCAAGCAGATTGCATCGAGTCACTGACTAGTGTCAGAGTCTTTACAGCAATCCTCATACTAAGCAAGCATTTAGCGACAGTGGAGAGGAAAACTCCCTTTTAACAGGAAGAAACCTCCAACGGTTTCTCTAACTTCCAACGTTACATCATCTGAAAAGCTGAGCTCCATTAAATCACTTCCACGTCACCGTGTTTGTTGAAAAGGGGAGGGAGAGGAGGAAGGGTGGGGCAGCAGGAAACCTTTTAAAATAAATTACTTTTAAAAGCAAAACCTTTCAGATATTCTGACATTAAAACATCAGTAACAGAAGAAATGTTCAGTATTACATGTTGTAATACTGTAGACAACACATACAGAACATGACATGCTACATACTGTGAAGTGGTGTAAATCAGGAAATTAAAAAAAAAACAGGAGAATGGTGTCCTGAGCTCAGTCCTGGTGTTAAACTAGAACTGGCAGGGTGTGATGACTTGTTGCATGGAGATTTTTTAAAAGCAGGAATAAAAAAAGAGATTTTTACCAAACCACCAAGGATAAAGAAGACCATGAACAAGCGGCCAAGGGTGGTTTTTGCATAAACGTCTCCATAGCCGACAGTGGACATGGTAACCATTAGCAGGTAGACGCATTCCCAGTAGGAAAGCGCTTGGGAATTTTTAAAGCTTTCCCAAGGATCCCCCGAGTTTTCCACCTGGAAGAGAAGTTACGGTTGACATTGCCATAAAATAAATAGATTCATTGTTAAGTAGTTTATTATATGTTAACTCTGTGAACAAAGAAGCAGAGCAGTCAAACAGGACAGAATGTTACTTTCAGCTGAACTGAACCTAACACAAAGGTGTTTATTTTTTACCTGATCATTTCAAAAGAAAAAAGAAGAGCATGCATTTATTTCATCAACATCATTTTCCGATCTTAAATATTTGCCACCAACTTACCAAGTGAATGAAGCCTGCAGCAGTCAGCCATGTGCTTATGAAGATTGAACACAAGTTCACCAGCTTAATCGAGTTGCTGTTTTAAAAAAGTATCACAAAAGTTAACTTTTACACAACTACATGCTTTTATTGCATAAATGAGGGACTAGATTGGAGCAACACATCTGGGTACTTCATCTCTGTGATGTGGTCCCAGCTCACATTGGGTGAAATCAACCCCACCAGTTTGACTGGCAGCAGAAATCCTCAGGTGTTTGCTTACAAAACTGTGATAACGTGACTATGTCTATTTTTCCTGGTGATGGGGGGAAGTACGTACCTAAATTATTGCAAGCAAGAGGTATTTTTGTGTTCGAGTAAGACCATACCAACGGATTGCTATTAGGGTCAAAAATCACTGGGAGCGCAATTTTTGGACATTCAACCCCCAGCAAAACAACAAGAACATCAGACTCCCTTTCATCACTGGCAACGAGTGAAGCGGTAAATGTGTAAAACAACGTTTATGAATGGTGAAAGTTTTGTAACCGTTTGTTACAAATCAGTTAAAGCTCCCACAGAAAGAAACATGGCGCCTGGTGTCGCCCATGGCTTTGACCCACTCCCATGTATTTTAGACTATTTTTATGGTTATATGTTACAAAGCTGCCAATATTTTTCAACAACTGGGCATCATTTACTTCATTTTCAACAACATTTTTATGAATGTTTCCAGAGATAAATGGTAAAAACTTCACATTGTCACTTTAAATAAGACTACCTAAATTTCTGAAGCTTTAAATAGTTAAAAATATAAATACGGCTATCAGGCAAACTGTGTTAATGCCACTGCCGATCAACCATCTCCAGCCTTATGCAGCGAAACTTTAATTAAAATGGACTAAAGTCCATAAAGCCACGTGGGACCACCCTTAGCCTGGTGGGTGACCAAGTAAAGCCTGACAGCAGCCAGGCTTGTGCAGCGCTGGGGGAAACCCTGCCCTGTATGCGCTTATTCTCGCAAAACCGGAAGAAATCACCCAAAGACACAATAACTGCCATGTGAGTGAATGACTGAAGCTTGAGCAAGTTGTTGTTGTTTTCTAGGCGCACATGGTAAACGTAGTTTGAGTTCCTGTGATTGGTTAAAGACAAAATATGGTAGCCAGTGCCAGCTGGGCACTACCTTCCTTATCCTTCTATCAGCTCAAAATATTCTAGCAGATAGCCCTCCCTCTTTCAGACGGCTTCTGCTGCAGAGAGTCCAGATGGAAATGTGTCAACTCGACACGGGGCAGGACTGCACATAGAGATCTGGCGGCTGCCAGGTTAAGCAAAAATAGGAAGTAAGAATATAATCATGATACAATAATATTATAAACTGGCAATACTTGGAGATTTTATTTTTAGAGATTTTGCTTCTGCTCTAAGGTTTTGCTTTGGCTTTTTAAAGAAAGTGTCAGTAAAAGTTTGTACAGAAAAAACAGTTTGAGCCATTCTGTTTTGAAATATAGATATGTACTTGTGAATTTGTTCATTTCTTTTTTAGAGAGGTTTTTTTTCTTCTTCTTTTTGTTGCTTTTGAAAATTCACATTTTTGTTTCTGAAATGTTCATTTTTATTGCTTTATTCAGGTATATCTTATGTGTGATTGTATTTTTTGGCTAGTCCTTTTGGCACAAATCTTATCCAATAGACGGCATCGCATAACAATAAATCATCAGTTGATGTCACCCAAAAGGGGATAAGGCTGTTTCAAGAAGCAAGAAGTGACATGCTGTTGCTCCAACCTATACTATGTATAAATAATCTCTTAAGTCAAGCCAAACCCAGATTCCTACCACACAAAGACTAAAACATTCACCTTCATGGTTGTGCCTAAGAGGTTTTTCTTTCAGCATCAATAAAAAACATTTAAATGTAATGTCTATAAATTATTAGACTATATTCTTTTATTGCTGTTACTATATATACATGCAGGATTATCTAAATGGCACCGAATAATGCATATCTGACAGAGCTATAAAGCCTCTGCATAACGTGTTTATTTTGTGTGAGACTTCCATCTAAGTCAATGCCTAAGAAGATTATTCTAAGGATTTTGTTGTCTATAAGCTGTTCCTGACATCTGTTCAGAACACTATAATTCTCGGCAGTAAAGCAAAGAAAAAATAAAACAGTTTTATTCAAGACTGGATGATTTACTGCTGCATGTCTTCACATCTGTCTGATGATGTGGTCCACATCACCAGACAGATGTTTCTGGCTGCACAAACCTTAAATACTCTAATTTTATCTAATTAGTTAAAGCATACGTGAATTTGGCTTCATGTGAAACACAGAAAACCTCTTTTACTTTCAAAAAATATGTACACATTCAATGTTGTAGCCATAAAGTTCATGCACAAAAACAAATGAATCAAACATCACAGATCAGTAAAAAGAGGAGAAAACATCCAAACACATACCTTGTCTTTAGTATATTCAAAAACTGTAAAATTTCTGAGAACTGTATCAATCTTAAGGCCCTTAAAAACCTCAAACCTGTCAGAAGAGAAATGGAGAAGAACGTTAACACCGTATAGCACCAATAACATTTAACCTTAGCTCAGCGATAGCATACCTTTCATGCTTTCATCCATCTTTACAAGCTTCATTGGATTCATAATAATAAAAATTAACCTTCGGCTGATCGAAAAGCACTCAGCAATTATTATATGATGGGAAATAATTTGGAAAAATTAGGAAATATGAAAAAAGAGCTCAGTATCTCCTCATCAGCCCAGCATTACACTTGTGTCTACCTGCTTTATTCCAGAACAGAGATGAAAACCTGGATTAAAGACAGGTGGACGCTGTCAGACCTAACTGGATGAGTAAACACACGTGACGTAAAATCCCTAATTTGACAGTATTTACAGAGAGGAGGGGAAATGAAGCCTGTCACCAACAATTCAAGGACAACATAACCAGCTAAATCAGCAGTGCAGATGCCAATCGGAGCTTCTGCGTCACGTTTTAAAAATGGTAGTGATATTTCCACCCAAAACATCTCTAAAATATATCTTTATGTCTGAGAGACTTGCAGTAAACCATAAAGAAATACTACCCACTTACTTAAAAATGCTAAATGATTTAGTTTGGAAAAAGTTGCAACCACAGCAGATTTAAAGGTGCATGAAAAATTATAATGAAGTAAAATCCATCTAGTTTAACTGGTTTGATAAATCCTCCCACTGGAGTGGGTTTTACGTGCAAGCCAAGGAACACAAATCAAATGCATTAAAGCCAGTCACTCAGCTACAAGAGCTGTAAACAAACAGTCTTTATAGAATGAAGCGCTGCAGTTTTTCTCTCCTCAGATTTCAGGTTAGAGGTGGCAACACACCACCTAATCCTGAACCTGCTGCAGCTAAACATGCAGAGTTCAGCTAATACTGGACAACCAAGGTTCCCCTTGTTCTGATGTCCAGCAGGTCTTACCCCAGTAAGAGATTATGTGGAAGCATGAACCGAGGCTGAAGCAGAAGCTGTCCTGGTCCTCTTTATCGGCCACGTGCCCGTGGCCCATCCTGACCCTGTAGCCCTTCTGGAATAGCTCCCCTGTTGACTTCTTTCGTCTTGTTGTATTAGAAGCCATGTATGACTGCAGATCTCCATCAGGCCCTCTGTACACTAACATCTTTGTTGGAATCATCTTTAGAAACTAAGCTACTTTCCAAGTCCAAAACTGGCTTCCCTTCTTCAATGTCTTGCTTCTTTCTCAACAAAAATCTCTTCCAAAAACACAAAAACCACCATGGTCTTTGCACCAACAGGCAGAGATCAAAAGCAGCTTTTTTGAGGATGCATCTGATTTTTCTCACAGCATCCTCATGGCCATTCAGTGCATTCTGCAAGCTTAGAGAAAACCCTATCCCCATCAGGATATTAGAGTTTAAGCTCCTTTAGGATCCATCCAGGGAAAGGACGAGACCAGTCAGTGAGTGTGCTCATCAGCTGGCTTTACAATGTAGTCTACATCTCAGAAAAAAACAAATTTTATTCTCTAATCGTCCGTAAAGAACAGCATGCATCTTTGTGGTGCAGTGTGAGACGAGCCAGAAAAGCAGACCGATGAAGAACGGGGGAAGTTACGGCAATGATTACATTTCACAGATTTAGCGATTCCATATAATCCCTAAATTAATCGCAGCTGATGTATTAACTGCTGCTACCGTTGATGCTAAAACTAAATGCACAACATGAGAGATGATGCATTAAACACAGAGAACGCAGCAACTGACAGAAATATGTCATTCAGGGCCAACGTAGCAGAAATAAAATCAGAAATCTGTCACTTCTGTCACCAGCAAAACGCTTCTTTGAATGAAATTAGTTAGTAGAAGTTAAAGAACATGACGTAGCAATAAAGCATAATACTTGAGTCAAAATTTCATTTGAAAATGACCCTTTTGGCCAGAAATAACCTAACTTGTGCATGATCACTGTCCCTTTTACTGTCACCATGGTAACTGGACTTTTTCTAGGGTTTAACCTTTGAGAAGAAGCTGAAATGCTGTGTTTTTATTTCTTGTATGAAAGTATTGAAAAATATATTTGCAACCTTCGAGAATCATCAAGCTGAGAGCCGTGGCTACCTAGAAGTATTTTGTCACCGAGGACAGTTTAATACTGAAAGCCTCTTTCTGCGTTTTTAATGTTATCTCTCGTGAAAAAAGCTGCATATTTACAGCTGCCAAGTTAGGAATATTTCATCGGGAGGAGATATGTTGCACTAGATCATTTTTCGTGTCAGAGATAAACGTGTTGCTCGTATTTTACACTTGCAGAAGTCAGATTTCTGAGTCTAGACTCTGCAGAAAGCATTCATGTAAACTGTCACGTCGATGGTATATCAGAGGGCGGATTCTGCAATGAGTCTGTTTGTCGTGTTTACATGCACAAACATGTCATGCGCAAATGAGCATGTTGATGAAAGGGGTACTTGAAAACGTTGTTTGCGTCAAAATGTTCAGACAGCAGGACAGACAGATTGGCAGTTTGGCTGAGAGGCATCTGAATTGTGGACTTTGGATCAAAAGGACCAGATCCCACTGAGCTGGTGGTGACCTCGTCACATTTTTGACCTCAACTTAACCAGTTCAGACATTAATCCTCCAAAACCAATTGCTCAGTGAGAGACGTATTACTTTCTCCCACCATACTCGTTTAGAAAATGGAAAATATCAGCTCAGTTTTTATACTTGGTGTTGGGTTTCAATAACACTGAGTCATAGAGGGCTGAGGAGACGACACAAAGAACACCACCTACACAAACAGCAATAACAACAACATAACAGGGTGAAAGCAGAACCAACACAAACGCCATGCTGCTCTTAATTTTTGGGACTGGGATTTGGGGGAAGGCAGCCAGGAAGATCACAGAACCAGAAGTAAAACCTCACAGTCAACACGGCCGAGGGCTGCAGGAGCAGGCTCATGAAGGGAATCTGTTCTTTTTATGTAAATAAAATATTATGTAAATGTGCATTTTTGTGTGTGTTTTGTATAAAGTTCAGCAGAACAGAAACTAAAGAAAACATGATTTCATATAAATTTAAATGTAAAATTAGCACATTCAGTTGGGAAATCATAATTAACTGCACAACGCACCTAACACCGGTCTGTCTTACCTGAATATGTAAAATAAAGTCAAATAAACACCCCACATGTCCACTAGATGGCAACATCAACACACAACGCCTCTTTCCACTTTTGTTGCATTCACACCTCAATTCACAAAACATCAGCTCAAGGAACAAACACAGGAACCTTTCATATAGACTCTAAAGTAGGAGGTCTTTATCACCTAAAGACGGGCTTCCGTTGGCTTCCCGAGAACAAAAAAGGCACCCACAAAAATCTAAAAGCTGTGAAAATATGTGATCCTATGAGTGATGAGCATCACACATTTAGAGGGCTGACTTCTATCCTAAGACTCAGCCCTCAACAAAACCCATTACCAATCGTGCACTTTTCAATCACAGCAGGATTTCAGGAGAGTGTTACTGCAAGTGTTGGAGGAACGTTCTGCTGTAGAGGGGAAGGGTATCTGAAAGGCAACTGTGGCACAGAGCTCCATAATGCAAGGCAAAAAAAAGAGAGAGAAAATCAGTCAAGATAAAAAAGGATTTGATTTGCACCCCGTTAGCATCATAGTTTACACTGTAACTAAGCAATCAGCATTAGATCAACTGGTTAAAGAATTAAGTGGTAAATTCAGATCTTTCTTAGTTGGTTTCTACGGAACGGTAATAAACACTGGACACATCATCTGTAGAGAGACTTTGAACAGCCTCAGTCTGGAGAAACAGACATTAGTTCAGACCAAACAGATGAGCTAATGACTAGACCAAGTGAGGGAAGTTGCTTAAGGCATTTCTTACATCTTATTCTGAACTCAAAAACATAATTTCTGATCATGTAAACAATGCTATATAAACATTTACTTTGCCATCAGTATCACTTTACAAGCAGGACAAATATGACATTTTAAAGGTGCAATTTGTAAGAATGACATGCTGTGGTCAAACGTAGTCACTACAGTACATTTTTAAAGCTAAATTATTACTTTTATTGCCATTCTGAGTTTCATGGTTGTTATGGATCAGCACCAGAAGATTCTAGATGACAAGCAAAGATGAGTCATACACAGTACACAGCATAAGTATATAAATACATTATCAAATCTGGTGTTAGTACTCTTGGGTGTTTTACATTTTAGAGCACCTACTACATGTATTATGCTAATTTGTCTCCAGCATTACAGGAAGTGTGGTTGTTTGCATCTTGCTGTTAGCTTACTGGTACAGTTCTGAACGACTCGTTACAGGAAGTAAAATGCCATGTCTGAGTCATTATTCAGTTCACACACACACTTCACTGTAATATCAAGTTGTTGGTAATTGAAAAAGTAGCTTGAGACATTTTTAGAGCTGACTATTTTTTTCTAACTCACTGTTAGCATTGTTTGCTCAACGCTGGCCTCTAGCCTGCATCAACCCACATCAGAGTAAAACAAAAGTTTGCCATGGCTTCTTATGGTACGAGAAATACCTTCTGGGTCACTCCTGTTTACTTTGATCCTTTAAACTCTGGAGATTTGTGCTTGCTGATGTCAAATTACAAATACCGACCCTACTGCGATAGCTCACTGCAGATTTGACAACCTCACAAACTCTGAGCGTAAACAGTAACTATGTCCCACTTTCTCTTCTTTTTTAAAGGAGAAAAACTGACAACTTCCCAGCCAGCTGAGAATGAAATCTGTTTCTACTTCAACCTTCCTTCCCATGATTGAGACATCAGACTGTTTTGTGATTACTTCACAGTAGAATTCTTACAAATTGCACCTTTCATTAGAAGTGCTACCTTTAAATGTTTCTGCTGCAAATAACCATAAACAAATGATAACAAGTGTGCAAAATTATGGCTGCTTGCTTTAAGACGGGAATAGGCCCCACTCAGACTAGCTACACTCATTTGTGTAAGTACACTCGTCCAACTGGTAAGAACAAACCTGTTTCTCCAAACTGAGGTCATTCAAAAAGATGTTTAGAACTAAATCTTCAAGAAAATCAAAATTCAAGATACCTAAAATTCAACCCTCAAGCTACAGATTTTTAAGGGTTCTATGAAAACAACGAGAAGCCTTCAAGTTTTATCAGGTCATAACTCTACATGACCAGAGTTTTCCAACTGAATATATTTGTGCATGTACTTAAGTGCACATAACAACAAAAACAAACAAAAATGTTCCACTGCTTCCACTAAAATGCTAAAATAAATGAAATTAAACATTTTTTTTATTCACAAGCCAGCCACAAACAGCAAGAGAGAGAGAGAGAGAAATGCATTCTCACCAAGCCAGCTTCTGCTCAGGTACACCGACACGAACACCGGAGGAACCGTGAAGAAGTCCACCACCGAGTTCACCTCCAGCCAGAACCAAAGCTTGTCATTAGCAGCAATGAACTGTGGGGAAAAACAAAAGGAACTATATTAGAGACAGACATTTCAAACAGAAAATTAGAAACCAGAGATTTTCAAATCGACTTACACGTAGCCCGAAATAAAGCAAGAAAAAGACGTTGAACGCCATGTCGGTTTGCAACGTTATGTCTTTGTAGAAGTTCTGACAGGACTCAATGGGTCTGTTAGACACAAGAAAACATCAAGTGTTTAATTTTAAAAAAAAAGAACAAATCTGACAGTAAAGGACTTTAAGACGTGGTCAATATGTGTGAGAAACAATATCAAATTGACATAAAAGATGCATTCTTCTTTTCCCGAAAATGCATTTTCTCTCCAAAAGAAGAAAGAAACGTGTCCAAAAAAGTGCAATAACTTCCTCAACGGGTTTTCTGTTGAGAAAGGGCATGCATTCATTTTAACACAAGCAAGAATTAATTGAAATACCTGGTTAACCCTTAAATAACTGCAACAACTCTCCGAGGAATGAGGTGCAAGGTTTCCTCAATAAAACGCTGCTGCTTTCCTCTCAGTCTTGCATTTCTCATCTCACAGACAATGCAGGTCATGGTTGAACAGGATGGAAATGCAGGGCCAAAGCAGTAGTTTAAGGGTTAAATGCATGCAGGACTCATGGCTTCTTTTATGAGATCAGGCAGCCATAGCAAGTGCTAGCAATGTAGTGCAGTCTCACCCTCATAATGCTCGTATCTGGCACGAAGAATTCAAATAAAGAGACATCATTAACCAAGTAATATGATAGGTTAGTATGATAGTCTACTGGTATTCATTGACCTTAAGGTTAGAAATATTTTCTGTTTGTTACACCTAAAATGAAAAGACAGGTTTTAATAAAACCATGAAGAAAAGGTTAGGGCACAGCTCAGATGTGGATTAATACTTAGTTTGAGTGAATAACTGAGTAAAAGCATAAAATTATTCATAATTAGTAGAATGATGGTAAATGTAGTTAAAATGGGGTGATGACACTTAAGAAAATTATTAAAATAAGTTATTTGCAGCAATTTCACATTTTCTTCAACACGTTTATTATGTTTAAAATAGTTTAGAACGACCTCCTTCGATATTTGTCCCAAAGTACATTTGTTTCCTTCATATCTTCAGTGTGTTTTATGGAAGTTTCATTGCTTTTTCCGGCAAAAAAATGTGCTCCATTTCTAGGAACTAAAAGATGCCCACATCACAGCTGAGCTCCAGATGAGCTTTTGGAGTCTTTTTTCATGATATTTTGGACATCTCACCCCAGATTAGATGTCAGCAACACGACTCTACCACCGACCAAGCCCCCACAATGCGGGTCAAAAATTGAAGCTAAATGAAATAAATTGCAGTTCCACCCTTATCCACTGGGGGCTGGTGTCAGAAGCGAGCAAATCCTCATTGACTCCCATGTTAAAAATACCAATTTCACAGCTGAAATAAACATGTTTACAGCCTGGTTCCAAAACATGTTTTTTGTTTAAATGATCTAGTTTACACTCATGACAACTCTGAGGGGGGTGAATTTTTTTCTAACTCTTCTGTTTAAGTGTATTAAATGTCTAAAATTCTGAACAATTAATGAGCATCAGACCCACGTGACCACAGAGCTAGCTCCGGGGAAAGGCCTCAGTCTGAGCCTCGGCCTCGCCTGAAAACTGTTTGGTCATTTTCAGTCTCTCAACTTAGACCATTAGTTGTAGCGTTTGTGCATTCTTTTTTTGGACTTTATTTGTGCAATTGTTGGACAAAATGACTTGCTGTGGCATTAATTGTGTCGCGTGCCCGTCCCATTTACCGATTCCGTTAGAACTTATGAGACGGTGCATCCATCAGGGTTCTAGGGGATGTCGGCGAGTATTATCGTATCAGATCCGGGTTTGGACCACCTAATTAGAATCGTGTCTTTTATTTTAAAGGTGAAATGACTTGCACGAATAGCAATCCCCAGAGTAGTCCACTTCTTTTAAACTCGTTACCTTTTGGTTAAGATACTAGAGAGAAGACTGGAGGCAAGCCAAGCCTCTCAGCAATTGTTTGGGTTATCCGGATTAATTGCGCCTCTAACAGCTTATGTGGGAGGTTGGTAACTATAAAATGATTTATGATAGTTGATCAGGCTAACATAAGTTTATCAATTTACTTAATTAATCAAACCTCTCCAGCTGGTAGAGACTTTTTCAACCTGCAATCAGAGCCAAAAATAACCTCTAATATTCTGATTTTATCGCCCTTAAGACAACTCGTTACTCGCAAGGAGGGGGGAGTTAAAACTCCCCTTATCTTAAGGTTTCTTTATATTATTTTATTATAAACTGTAAAGTAAGTCCTGATAATTCAGAGACCTGTGATCGACATGCTTACCTCTGTGCAATTATGGCCAGGGCCCCCAACCGTGAAGCTTTAGAGAAAACCTGAAATAATCAGGATTATGTTTCTTTTCCAAAAAAGTTTATTACAAAATAGAAAATACAAAAATGGGTAAATAAAAAACAACTGCTATCCCCCAAGGAGGAATTAGTTCAAAATGATTAAATAAGAGTTAAGTTTACACTAGCTCCTGTCTTCTGAGAATCTCCCCAAAAACTCTCTCAGCCCGATCTGAGCTGCATCCTTTTATATCATTCCTGAGACTGCTCTAAACAATGTAAGAGTCACAAGTCATTCTCTCCTGACAGTTTAGGTCAAGGGGTCATTTACCAAATACACTTTTTTAGCTCTACATAAGACATTTGGTATCATTTTCACTACATGCAGTATTCACATGAGGGCACAAAAGTTCATGTTGCACTCCTGGAATGGGAGCACAGGTCATAAATCTTCATGTTGGTAGCAAATTGTAGATCTTCCTTTAGCATTCCTGAGGACTTCTGGGTCCAGATGGACTGTCCTTACTCCATTCCAGTCCTTCTTTTCCCGCCAGAGGTGGAGTTAGGGGTGGGGCCATGGGTGGACCCATGGGTGGATCCAGAGAAGCCAGCCTGCCTTTTGACCCTTTGCCTAGTTCTGTCCTCGCCAGCAAGTCCTGAACTATTGTCCTCTTGACCCTTGTGTGACCCTTGTCTCTGACCACTGTTTCTAAGCCTTGACCGGCCAGGACTCGCAACACCAGGACTCGCAACAATTGCACTAACAGAATGTCCAAAGAGTCTTCGCTTCATTTTTTTTCGGTAAGTAAAATTATACTTATGTATTTTAGGTCACTGCCGCTCTTGCACTAGCTGAGCTTAAATTTTAACATGTACTGTTTAACCATGAAATTTAAATTTAATAGGGTAAAACCCAGTGCATTTAACATAACATCTCCAAGATCTTGGAAAATGTTGTGGCTAAACAACTCACAGCTGCTCTTGATGAACATAACATCTATGATAGCTTCCAGTCAGGTTTTCGTAGAGCTCATTCTACTGAAACAGCTCTTCTTAGGGTCTCTAATGACCTGACTCACGGTGATGCAGGGGACTGTTCTGTTCTGGTCCTGCTGGACCTGACTGCAGCCTTTGACACTGTTGACCATCACCTGCCACTGGAGAGGCTGAGAGACTGGGTAGGCCTATCAGGATCTGCTCTGGAGTAATTCTCCTCTTATCTTTCTGAGCGCTCCTTTTCTGTGGCCGTCTCCAAGTTTAGGTCCTCCACCACCTCTCTTACTCATGGTGTCCCACAAAGTTCTGTGCTGGGGCCTCTGCTCTTCCTCCTCTATCTGCATCCTCTTCAGCACATCCTGAGCTCCTTCAAAGGAATATCCTACCATCTTTATGCAGATGACATCCAACTGTACATCTCCTTTAAGCCCCATGAGATGTCTAAGCTGCAGCTGTTACACACCTGCTTAGACTATCAAAACCTGGATGGCTGGGAGCTTTCTACAGCTGAATGAAGATAAGACTGAGATCCTCATCTGTGCCCCAGACAAGCTGGTTCCCAAAGTCAGAGACTCTCTTGGTCAGCTTGCTTCCCACACCAAACCTTCTGTCAGGAATCTTGGTGTGACCTTTGACCCAGCTCTCACCCTGGATTCTCATGTCAGTTCTCTTCTTCGCTCTTCCTTCTTCCATCTCAGGAACATTGCTAAGCTGAGTCCCATTCAGTCTCGCTCTGAACTTGTTATCCACACCTTCATCTCCTCACGCTTAGACTACTGTAACTCTCTTTTCACGTGTCTGAGCAGAACCTCCCTGAACCGTCTACAGGTGGTTCAGAATGCCTGTGCTCAGCTTCTGACCAAGTCCTCCAAACACACCCACATCACCCCGCTTCTCCTCCAGCTTCACTGACTGCCAGTCAACTTCAGGGTTCATTTCAAGATCCTGGTTCTGGTCTATAGGGCCTTACATGGACAAACATCTTCTTACATTAGTGATCTTCTTAGTCCCTACACCCCCAGCAGGCCCCTGAGGTCCAGTGATCAAAGTCTACTGGTTGTGCAACGCACCAGGCTAAAGACCAAAGGTGACAGATCATTTGCTGCTGTGGCCCCCAGACTCTGGAACTCTCTCCCCCTGAGCCTGAGATCAGTGGACTCAGTGGTCTCCTTCAAAAAGCAGCTGAAGACTCACTTGTTCAAGCTGGCTTTTGTATGACCTTCTTCAACTCCTCTCTCTTTATTCTGCTCTCCCCACCTATTCCACCTTCCTCAGGATCCACTGATTTCCCTCTTTCCTATACACTCTCTCTTTCTTAACATTTTTTCTTTTAAATCCCAATTGCCTATTTTTGCTCCTTTTAAATATATTTTTAAACATTTTCTAAATGCTTTTTTATATTTTTACTTTTTTGTTTTTGTGAAGCGCCTCGTGATTTTATCTTGAGAGGCGCTATAGAAATGATATTTTCTTCTTCTTCATAATGCTGCACTTTAAAAAATGGGTTGAAATATAACATGTTGGTGGAGCTGGGTTCTGACTATCGGCTTGTGGAGCTCTCAGGAGACCTCTGTTTTCCACCCGGTTCTCCCCTCCCCGCAGCTCGGCGCATCTCTATCTGATCGCAGCTTCTGTCTGCTGCGCGGGCTGCCGGCTTGTGGAGCTCTGGGATGGAAACCTTTCCACCCGGTTCTCCCCAGCGGCAGCTCTGTGCATCTCAGATCGCAGCGGCGCTTGTCTGCTGTGCGGCTGCCGGCTTGTGGAGGTCTCGGAGACCTCTGTGTTCCACCCGGTTTTACCCAGCGGTCAGCCCGGCG